ATCGAATAAATTAAATAAGGAATTGATAATAGATATCGCTTGTGGATAAGAGAATATGTTGTGCATACATTTATAATTTAAAAAAAAATGAATCAATTAACAAATCTAAGTGATCCTATAATACCTTTCAATAGATGAAATAAAACTTGTATGGGGCCAGTGATTTTAAATCGTAAATGGGCAGCCTTTATTGCAAATACTGTACAACTACACGAACTTTATCACAAACCGAATTTAAATATTACTGATACAGCAGAAACTTCAAAATTTCAAATATTTTGTTAACCACAACTCCTAACCCCCTCTTTTGTTGTTATGTTTCGGAATAAGACGTATGTGCAACTGGACCAAATAAATCTGTTACCATTCTGTCATTGCTAATTAGCATTTAAACAAATAAAAGTGAAGGAAGAGCCATAAACGATCTTATAAATTAACATCTTGTTTCCAACACATAGGTTATCATCTGATGTAAAGTGTACACCCTTTGCGTTCCGAAAAGTTCTAACAGGTGTCAAGTTCATATACGATGTATTTATATAAATCATATGCTATTACTGTCAGTCATCGGACTGTATAAAACTTCTGAAAAGGTACTGTGTAATGCTTATTTATCTGTATATTTTTTTTAATTCAATTCATCGACTAATTTTCTATGATTTTTTAAGCAATAATGCCAATGAATACTATACATTTGCCTTCGGGTTTATATGATCCGTTCATCCTATTTCTACTCTTCAAAATTCAAGAGTCTATCCTAAATTGAGGTAAATTATATAGCCTTCCAAATACCGTTTCGATTCCTAACATCACTGAAGAGACATTAAGTGTCGAAATCCTGATATGGTGTACTAATGTTTGCACCTTTTGTTTGCGGTATACCATCTTTTCCGCAAGTTTATTGTTTTCTGTTTGGTATTAACCATGTTAGATTAATAGTAAACGGGATACTTAGACCACCACTTAGATCACTCGCCGGTCGATGTATATTATCTGTGAATAGATCCTTATCTTTATAACTTAACTTTGATTACTGACCTATGAAATGAAGTCAAGGTCACTTCATTACCTAATCAAATGTCTATTACCATTTAATCGTCAACTGCAAGGTTAAGACCAGACAATTTTAGTATCGACTATTTTATTTTTATTCCTTGTATATCCGGGAACCATACCATATTGGATTGAAAATGTCTTATATTTGAGTTGATAAAGAGAGGCGAAAGATACCAGAGGGACATTCAAACTCATAAGTCGTAAATAAACTGACAACGCCATCGCTAAAAAAGAAAGAAAAAAACAACGGACAAACAATAGTACACAAATCACAACATATAAAACTAAAGACTGAGCATCACGAACCACACAAAAAACTGGAGTGATCTCAGGTGTGTGTTTATTTGAGTTGAACTTGTTGTCGTGTGGTTCGTGTTTCTCATTCTTATTTATATATCGTATTACCTAAACGTATAATCTAGACCAGCTTTTATTGATATCCTAATGGACCTTTGTTGCAATTTCTAATCTATATAAATCACCCCTATACCTACGGGAGAAAATTATTACACCAGAGTCACGTTATTAAGAAGGAGATGATATTTTTAACTCCCTACATTTAGTTTGATGAAATATCTAAATCATTCACTTGATGCTTTAAATCCTTCTCCTTGAAAAATAGTGTAGTATCGTGATGGACAGTACTATTATTAATACCTTGCTTCAACGAAATAACTTACTTGAGTTATTGAATTATTGTTTTTTTAATCATACATGTCATAGAACCCTGTATTATCAAAAAAAAAAAAAAAAAATAGAATATTAATTAGAAATGAATTAGAATGATGTAGTTATGTTGTCTTGTTTGAAACAAATACTTAATACCTTATTACGTTCGTTTCATAGTGACATATATGTGAAAATAGAAGGATTTTTATAATAACGATTACAGAAAAGAGCATATTTGAAGGTTGTGACAGAATTTTTTGTTCCCACCATAATTGATATTTTGACAATCAAAATTGAAATAAAATGAATTCAAAAAATTAGATAGTGCCTAACAACATAGGATATGACATGCATGTTATTGTAAACATTTCGTTCTTGTATAGCAAAAACCCTTATAATTTTATCATGATATTGTATATAGCAACTTTAATTATTTACAGCATTTTGTTGACCGCTAAATATCATTTTGTTGATTCGTGTCGTTTGGCTTTTGTTTCATTTTCTTCTCCAGGAATATCCTTTTAATGATAGCAAATTGAGATAAACTGTTGTAAGAAATATCTAGTAAGTGCTAACAACAAAACTTATTCAATCCCACAACATGCCCAGTGTCTCTCGATAACCTTATAAGTGGTTGCTTGACATAATTTAAAGTTGATTTTGTTGACTTTAGTATTAATAACAAATCGTTGTTTGCACTTGGCATTCCTACGGAAAACAGTTTGTTAGCTTTCCATAGTATCATCATGATCATAAACCCTGTAGTCAGTGCATAGCCTCTCAATTGATTTATAATATCGATGCGTAAATTTTAAAATCAATAATTATTAATCAGTTTCAAACTTCATCGGACGACATTAACCATAGATGATTCTGGCTATTCTCTTTAAATCCCTTTTCGTCATAGCCCTTTAGTATTTATACCTACCTTGTAAACGTTTAAATTTTATCGGTCTTATTTAAGGTCAATCCAAAAAGGCGCCTCTTACGCACTAGCTTTGTAAAGATTTATTTTCATTGTATTCGTCTTTTTTAACACCACTTAGCTGTTATCGTTCAAAAAAGTAAATTACGAGTTTAAGAAAAAAAGTTCAATCATCGTAGTAGCTTGTGATTTGGCACTGAAATGATTCAACTAGCAGTAAGTTGACGGTCATTTGATTTCCTTATTCTCATGGAAAACTATTTTAATCTAAGAGAACATGATTAATTGATTTATCTATTATTTGTAATTGGTTTTGAACGAGTTTTCAGTTACAGTGAGTACTCTTAGATCGGTACTTTGTGTCATTTATGTAATTTTTTTTTCTAATTCGTTCTAATTTGTTGAGTTTGACCATTTTTAAGTATTCTCTGACAGTTTGTTCTTAAATATTCTGTTACCCCACTGTCCCAGGTTAGGGCAGTGTTGATCTTTGATAATTGTGTTTAACAATCCAACATTTTCATTCCTAATGGTAGGTTAAACATTGTTTTATAGCTATCAAAACCGCCCACTTGTATGACAGCTGTTTATAGTTGCGTTATATTGACATATTGGTAATAATCCCAAATAGAGATAATTGGTAAACGTGAGAGTAATTTAGATCATGTTTCTTCATTTTAGATATGAAAATGGAATTTCATAAAATCACACAAAAGGTTATACAATGTGCGATTTCATAGTTATTGGTGAAAATAAATTTACTCTCTGAAATGTCCCTTTCAATGCAAAACAAGAACTTTTGTAAAGGGTCTGTATAACTAAATATATATAGATTTCATGAATGCATTTCCATTGAAATTGGCTTTGATATGTGTATAAAAATAACTGTAATCTATTTTTCGTAATAAAGCATTGTAAGGCTAAATTAAACGTTTTTTGAAAACAAAATAATGTAGGTTTAATATTATCTGTTTATCACAAATACTAATTTTCCTTATATGATCTAGAATATAAGGTTCTAGTATCCTTTTTTTTACGTCTTATCCGGAAAGAAATCTGTTTGTTTACATTTTTGATAATATGGACTTGAAAAAACGTGGTCACACTCGAAAAAAACTGATCAAATCACTTGAAAAAACACAATCTCAGCCGGACACTCTACCTACTGTAATTAGTATTTACTTACAAATGACACGAACTTCCAATCCACAAGTCTTTAAACGTTTTCTTTCGTCGTTTAAAGTGCAATGAATTGAAAACAATTCTCATATTTTACATAGTCGAATATTAGCACTGAGTTGTTGAGTTACCAAGAGTTGATTTTATATTTTACAAAACTTTGTTCAATCAAATTTCCTCAACTGTCTTCGTCACTGTTATAATACATGCGTGTTCATTTTCATAGTAACTATGCATTGATAACAACAAGCTTTGAGTAACATACCTGTTGATTTTAATCAAGGTATGGTGAGAGGAACAATTATTGCCGTAGTATACTTTTAATAAACATGATAAAAGAAGTGTCCCAATCTCTTAACTCTATGTGATTCGTGTTTAAAACTATCTTTTAATGATAAAATTATATCAGTTAACAGGACTGAAATTTAACAAATACAACGATGATGATAGCTATCCTTAAAAACGTGTTATGATGAAAAGTGACTTGACCCCTTTCTTCATGTATAGAAACACTTTGACGATATATGTAACAAATTTGCCACACGTTTTAAACATGACAACAGGAGCGAAAATGAACTTTTTATCTGGCTCAAATCTAATGAAGTCACCAATTCATCAATGTCATCAACTGCAATTTTATGTTTAACACGTTTAAGTGGTGATCGATTCCATTTCTGGCTACACTTTTAGCGCATACACTAAATATATCATCTAACATATACAACATTTGCACCATGAATCACAATCTTAATGATAAGATCATAGGACAATAAGCAATTAAATCAATATTGTTTAGTAATCTGAATAGTCAAACAAATGTATTCATTTTTTATACAATATGACTATCAGTGACTCAATAAACAAATAATCAGCAGATTGCATTAACTTGCAACTGTTGGACATCAGGTCAATTGTCAATTACATAACTTCTGTGGATAACTGAACATTATTCCTGTTATCTAATAGCCTATTCAAATAAATCATTTAAAAAAAAGGATATTTGGTTTGAGTGCCAATGAGATAATTATCTACGAGAGCCCTGATGACGTAATCAACTAAAGGTCACCATGCTGCCTTCAACAAAGCTAATTTGAATAGGCCATTATACATTGGAAATAAACTTCTAACATTAAACATGTTATCGGGTCAATTTTATAATGCGGAATCTGCTCAACAGGTTACTTTTCAGAATGAACATTTTTTTCTCTCCATTTATTCATATATTTGTTTAAAAATAAAAACAGAATCACAGTTACTGAAGTTGGACGGATAATTCACAGAAATCACAGCTTATTCCAAAATGTTTTGGTCAGGTATGTTATAGTCGTAATAGTTTTCGGAGGCTTTTGAAGAAACATTCCATTTGGATCAGCGCCAGATTTCGTCAGCTGCTCTTTAAATGCGTCGATATGTTGTCCCATATGCTGAAAGATTGAAATCAATAAGTATTGTAACTAAATGTTTAAATTAGAAATTTCTCTTTTCTGCAAAATTCTTTTTTATACGAACGACTATGCGTATGAGAACAACGAACTGTGCGCCTTCCCTTGCCGACCGATTCTTATTATCATATGAGTCGGAGTTCTTTCAGACACTTGTCAAAACAAAAGATTAAAGAAGCTAGATCATTTAATTTCACATGCAGATATATTGATGATGTTCTTTCAATTAACATTCCAAACTTTTCAGATTGGGCTCCAGTAATGTATCCTCCAAAACTCGAAATTAAAGAAACAACAGACACTGTTTCCTCCGTCTAATTTTAAGACTTATACCTCGAATTTGACATAAGCGGCCATCCCAATACCAGAATCTATGACAAACGAGATGATTTTAATCTTCCAGCTATATAGTTAACCCACCTTAGCAGCAATATTTTAACTTCACCTGCACATGCGATATACATTTCCCGACTCACTCAGTATTCAATAGCTTACAGCTGCTACTCATACTTTATAAAACGTCACCAGTGTCTGAACAGAAATTTGATGAACGTCTCGTCCTTTTTAAAAAAAAAAGAGTTCATCTGAAGATACCAAGATCTTGATCAAGATCATGTACCAAGTCAAGAAAATGACAGTTGTTTTCCATTCGTTTGATGTGTTTGAGCGTTTGATTTTGCCATTGGATAAGGGACTTTCCGTTTGGAATTTTCTGCAGGGTTCGTTTTTTTTGTTATTTTACGTTATGATAAATATTCCGTTTCAACTTCACAAATCATACATGATGGTCTTGAATTATATATTCTAGGTACTGACGTTGTTTATCATATTAATAACGTGTTAAAGTGTTCTTTCATTTGTCTTTATATATTATCAACCTTTACTGTGTAGTCCATTTTTTGTAATATTCTTTTGGCGTGTTATTCCTGTCTTATATATTTGCTGATGTGCTTTGTCTATATGCCATTTTGTTTTCTTTGTTGACATATTTGTTTGTTTTTTATAGTGAGTAAGATTATAGCACAATGTTGACTGCTGCACCCCAAATTTAGACATTTGTACCTATTATGTCTGGTTTTTGTTTACACATTGTTGTCAATATAGTGGAATTTTATACGACTGTCATACAAGTGAGAGGTTTAGCTAGCTAGAAAACCAGGTTTAATCCACCATTTTCTACATAAGGAAATGCCTCTACCAAGTCATGAATATGACAGTTGTTTTCCATTCGTTTGATGTGTTTGAGCTTTTGAGTTTGCCATTAAATAAAACACTTTCCGTTTTGAATTTTCCTTGGAGTTTGTATTTTTGATATTTTACTTTTTGCTTCATATCTAGGGGGTCAATATTAAGTAAATGTCCGAAGCCGAGAACACTTAGACATTGAAGTTATTAATAGATTAATTATTTTCAATGTATATTTGCAATATGCCTAATAGAAATAGTAGGATATAATGACTTATATTTCGATCCCTCCTAGGGCACTCGTCGAGGTACTTATTTGAAGTAAATTCGTTAATACGTTGCTATTAACGCCATCCTAATCGACGAAAACATGACATGGTTATGACTACGACAATTATCTAAGGTTATGTGTGAAACAAATATATTTTAAAAACCATTTAAAGATAAATGGCGTCCATTAAACTTTCGAGTTAATAACTTTTTTCTATTTGTACTATTTAACTGTGTAAGTCTGATACTTGTCAGAAACATAAGAAAATCATTGTGAATTTTTTGCTGGGCCAAGAACATCTGTTGAAAATAGCTTACATTTTGCATTCAAGAATACCATTATGCTAACAGAATAAACTATATGATACAAACGGGCTATGCTATTTCTTACCTTGTAAATATGGTCCTCAACACCAGGAAGAAAATCCCACTGCTTAGCTAAATGTGGAACACCATCTAAAGCCATCGATTCTGTTCCTACATCAATACAAAACTTTTCCCACCCTTTTGTGTCGACGACACTTAAAACTTCTATACACAACACGTGACCAGATCCGCCAAGGTCAGGATTTCCAATTATACCAGGACAAAGAAGTGTGTCGCTGAAAATGAGATTTTATTTAAATTGAAATAGAAGACACATGGGAATAATCTACACGCATCCATCAAATCACACAAAATACAAACTGCCGAAGAAAAATTCGACGACAAAAACATTATGTTGTACTGTTCAATATGCTTGTTAATTCCGTTTACAATTCTTTCTTATTACTTCACATTAAATAAGAACGTAAGATTGACAAAAACACAATGAATTTAATATCGTTGAGCCCCAACATCAAATTGTTGCAAAACAGTATTACATAATGAGCACCATATAAACAGGACGAGGAAGCGACATATACGTTAGCCTTAGGATGTTGGTTTGGAAATTATTTTTTTATTGGCATATCAACATACACATAAAGCAATGAAACATATTTACATTATATTTGATTCATTTTACTTGTTTGTGAAGTTCAGTTTGATATTTTGAATGGGTTAAAAATTGAAAAGACACGCTATACATTTCAGCGTCCGAAGCGCTTTTCTTACCTTCATCAAGAACGCTAAAAAAAACATATTTGAAAGCCAAGTGGTATAAAAACCTAAACGTTGAAAAGCTATATGATCAAAAAAACCTTAGAAATAGCCAATCAATCTAAGGTCAACTTTACCTGAGGGAGTTGAAACCTTAGTTTCTTTTTAAATTTAAAAATTCATAAACGGACATTTTTTGAAAGGTTTGTTTCAATCATGTCAGTACCGAAGTTCCGACTACTGTGCTGATAATACTCTCGGGGACTGATAGTCCAACAGCAGAGGTATCAACAAAGTGCTGTAAAAAATCAAAACAACACGTAAATCTGTTTAATGCCACTGCTCGTGAATGTTTCGTCTCCGAGTTGCCTGATAGTCAGCATGTTTGTGTTGACATGAAATATCGTTGATCTGTTTATTGTTCTGGTAATGTGCTGTTAATTATAAAATTTTGAAATAGTCCTTACACGAAGATTGGTCTACCTACAGGTATAGATTGCATTAGCCTTATTTGGCATAACATTTAATTTACCGCTATTTAATGCTTTTCATCTTAGTTTTTGATTTTGCTTATAACAGTTTTGATTCGAGCGTCACTGGTGAATCTTATGTAGACCAAAGGCACGTTACAAAATTATAAGTCTGATATCTTTAATGAGCTTTTTATTATCAGATTTACCTGTGACCCATACGCATTTCCAAAGCAATGTTCAATGGATACTCATCTTAGTCCTTGTAATGGTCTACTTTGTTCACAACTACTTGAATTATCTCCAAGAGTCGATGAAAATCCCCTCTTAAATCGAGTCAAAATCCATGTCATTTACAGGAGCCTTCTTAATGAATTGTCTGAAATTCATAAAATATCAATGATAAATCTGTTACAACATTGACGAGAAAAACATAACAGCTTGCTATAAATTATGTCGGTCTTTATTTACTCCGATTAGATTATAAACTTTAGTTTGTTAAAACATCATTTAATAGTAATCGTGTGCTGTTGTCAATTAGAGGTTTTCTATACAACTTTCCATTTTAAATATTCCTTAAAGGTTTGAGGCAGAAACATTTACTCCTTTTCGCTATTTATTAGTTTGAAATACTAGTACCAGAACACGTTTTAACCCACAATTATACAATTATATGAGATAAAATTATGTAATATTCTTTCTTGATTCTCATTTTTTTTAGAAAAACTGTATTGCCAAGCAAAAAAAGAATACGTTCCTTTTCAATTGTTGAACAAATAATGCTTTTTGGTGATTCAAATGGCGTTTAACCAGAGAAAAAAATCATAATTACCCTTTTTATAAAGTTGATATAATAAATTACTTACCAAGTGACTTGTATTTTTCCTATATTGAAACACTTGTTTTATTTCTTGCTTCATGCAATAACGGTAAAATATTAAATAATAATTAAACCTGACAGTAATAACTAACGTTTATATCTAGATTATTGAGTTTAATTTCACCAAATAGTTTAGCCGCTGGTCGTTGGTATACATAAACGCATGAGAAAAGAATAATCCACTTACAGGTAAATTGGGATGTAATGTCCTGCAAATCTTTGCAGAAAATAAAAATTTTTGACGGTATGTCAGTCAGATAATGCATATTTTACGGTCGGTTTTTCATTTGAAAAATCCTCACATTCCTCTGTGTAATATACGACCTGACAAACCTTAACACATGCAATAATTTATAACTTCAATCTTATATCTTTTAACCTAACCAAACATACAAATTAGGCCGTTGCTTTTCTTGTTTGAACTATTTCACATTTTTCACGTCGGGGCCGACTTTGGTATAGGTTTTTTCCATTGTTTTTGTTTTTGTCGTAGGTAAAATATCGTTGACATCCAGTTATTATGGACGTTATTAGCCAATCAGAAGTTTTAGTTTCCACTTTGAAAATATTTTCCAAAAAGCATTAAGATCTCTAAAGAAAATTTAGAACATTCAAGACTTAATTCGATCAGTTGTATCATGACATCAAAGTGCCAACGAACGAGAGATAAACGTACAAGAGAAACGAGAAAAACTAACAGCCTAATTCAGGTTAAATTAAAAGTTATAAGATTGAAGTTATACATAACGAATAAGTTTACCTAAAATGTACAGCGTGTGGAAATTCATGATACTGTGTACCGCTTGGGTAAATGATCTTCTTTAACGCGCCAAACGATGACCATGAATAAAGTAGAGTCAGAGCAGGATTGCCTGCTATTATCGGTGACATGATTGCCAAGGCTTCCTGTGTCAGATAATCTTTTACTTCTTTCCAGTCATAATAGGTTTGAGTTGCCGTTTTGACTTTCTTCGTTTCTTTGTTAATAATTTAAATTTTAAATTTAATGGTTTAAAAGTTTGTTTTTTTTCTAAATAAAGCAAAACGAGATGACATAAACAAAAAAAACATAATTAGTGTAATCTTGGTTATATTGAAACATTTAAAAGGTCAGCGTTGGTCACATGTCTTATAATCAGTGTCACTGAATCCGTCAGTATGATAGTTACGAATAATGAACATTCTCGTAGTATGGAAGAATTAGTGCTGAGCTTCTCTGAAATCATTGGTAATTCGAGCTATTTTTACTTAGAAAAAAATAAATAATGCAGACGTGGTATAGTTGGCAATTAAACAACAATCCACGTATGACCAAAGGTGCGGATTTTAACAAATGCAGGTCACCATTTGGTGGTACAGAAAATAGCAACATCTCACTAGATAATAGGCTATAACGGCCCAGGGATAACGAAATGCCAACACAATAAAAATAAATACCAACGGCACTCTTTAAACAATATGAATAATGAACAACAATAGCAGGCACCAAATGCAACAAACTATAACCACTTAACTAAAGGGCCTGGGTTGGGACAGCAAACCTTGAGATCATGTCGGGGTATATATTGTTTGTCAGCGCTTAGCTCTCCCCATTACCTGTCAATTAGCTGTTACAGCCAAAAAATAGCAGAAAAATGTAAGAATCAGTTGAAAGGTCTCGACGTATTCTACTAGTACAAAGCTTATACACAACTAGCAAAATGACAAAGTACTGATCTACTAAAAACAAGTACAAATAGGAAGTAGTTTGTATTGCTTAGTATTCGAAAGATTGATTTGTTGTCTGTTGTCGGTATTGTTGTCATTTTTTGGTTTAACAAGTTGTTCTGCTTTTGTCTTCGACTTAGGTTTTTGATCCCTTGGTATCTTATTGCCAATTACTATAACTATTCTGATTCGTACTTGGTTTCTGGGCGCGTAATCCTTTTTCATGTCAATTGTTAAGTTTTCCCTTCCAAAGAAAATTATTATTATCTACCATATACTTCTAATGAGGAAAATATATTTTTTAATGGGGGACTAATATTTGAATATTTTTATTCATAATTAATTTCCTTCGCCAGATTACAGAATTTTCGAAAAGATTTAAACACACGACAACAAACGATGTAACAATACCAAAGGCATGTTTAAAACGCTAAAATCTAGATTTTAACACATTTAAATCACGCACTATGCCTTGTTTTATAGTGTGTGTTATGTAACATTCTCGGATTAATGTACAAGTTATCGATTAAGTGACATTTATATTAATGACTCCATTTACATCTCTGTATATATTTAGTTTCTAACTGTGCACGCACATAAGATTTCCAGATACTTTAAAGGAGTCATGAAAACGAAATAAAAATATATCAAATGAACTACGATACTTCTGATGTATACATTAACACGAACCTAAAACATTCTAAAAAGAAAATTTAGAGATATTTTAAAACAATAAACAAATGTTTACACCATATGTCTTGTTAGCAACGTATGGACTTTTGAAGCTATTTATAATGCATTTATTGGATACCAGGCTTACAATTTTGTACTCCAGACGTGCGTTTTGTCTTCAAAAGACTTATAAGTCATATTTAATACGTATCGGACCTTAGGTACACATATAATTCATTTGCATCATCAAAAGTTATAGAAACAAAGGTAAACAACTAAGGATCAATACAATACGGCCTTCAATCTCGAGCAAACCCTATAATAGGTCTTAAACGCCGGAGGATAATAACATGTAAAAATATTTACAAAAACAACACAAACGTTGGCGAAACATTCATAGAAAGAAAATGAAAGCATACGGCAACTAACGACAACCACTAGATGAAAAACTTCAGACATACAAATGTCTGATAAATACAGATGAATTGAAGTATGCTATCATTTTCATAATGCAGAATCATTTACAGAGTCCTTTTTTTAAAATGCATTATCTTTTTTCCAGTAAACCATATTTTTATTCATAATAAAAAAAAAAACATCACAGCAACTGTAATTGGCCGGATAGCTTATTGCGAAAAGTTCCGGTTAGACATGTTAAAGTCGTAATAGTTTTTGGAGGCTTTTGTTGAGGAACATCCCCTTTGGATCAGCACCAGATTTCTGCAGCTGCTCCTTAAAGGCATCGATGTGCTGTCCCATATGCTGAAAAATTGTAAAATGATAAGTATTGTTAGTACAAGTTTGATTCTGAAATTTCATGTTTCTGCATATACTTTTTTATATTAACGATTAATCATTCGCTTCATATTAAGGGGGTTAATATTACATAAGTCCAAGACGAAGAAATATGAGATTTATTTTCCGGTCGTTTATGATAGTTTAAAAGATAATGTTTGCCATATTTTACTATGACCAAACAATTCTCTGTAGTTTTCATAGAAAAACTGTGCGAACTTGAACGGTATTGTCAGTTTGACAGCATAATCATTTCGAAAATACATATTTTTCATATTCGGCCTTGAACGTTCCTAATGAATGTAAATCCAAAAAGGTTCTGCGGAAGCATGAAATTTATAAAGTGTTGGTTTCATTCTTTTATCGTTCATATGTGATCAAGCAAACCATAGTTAATTCAATATTGTTCGAAGCAATTATGTTTAATTACGTAGCAAGTATCAATTCTTATAGATTAAGTATAAGTTTGCAATGCATATTGGCAAGATGAGTTTTTGAAGAGCCATGAATAAAGGTGTTTATGCATGTTGCATGGTATGTCCATATTACAACCACATTCGAAGTTAAATTCGGTTGACATGCTATACTTTTGTAGATACCTAAAGATGAATTTGGCATTTTGTGTTGTATAAAAAATAAAATAACACTTATACCGAACTCCAAAGAATATTCAAATCGGAAAGTCAATTATCAAATGGCAAAAAAAACAAAAGCTCAAACACATCAAACGAATGGAAACGAATGGAAAACATTGTTCATTCATTATTACATATGGAATAGTATATATTTTAATCTTGTAAAAATGTTTTGATATGATTTTATATCATTCTGTTATTTGTGATTAAGATCCTATTTTGACTTTGACGTTCGCAGAATGAAGTCTTAACGTAATAACTTATATTTTGAAACTTCAAAGGGCACTTGTCGTGTTACTGAATATAATTAAAGTTTACTAATAAGTTGCTATTTACGATATCACGCTCGACGAAAAGAGAACGTGATTATGGCTACGATACATATCAAAGGTCATGTGTAAAACACATATGTTTTATGGGCCACCAAAATATTATATGGCATCCATAAAACTTTCGAGTGGATCCCTTTTTACTTTTTGCACTGTTTTTTAACTTAACTTTGTAAGTCTGAAACTTGTCAGAAACATGAGAAAGTCATTGACAATTTCTTATTACAGCAAGCACATATGTTTGAAAACATTTTTAACTTTGCAACCAATATTACAATAATGTTAACAGAATAAACTATGTAATCCAAACAGTCGTTTTTCTTTCTTACTTTGTAAATATGGTCCTCAACACCGGGAATAAAATCCCACTGCTTAGCTAAATGTGGAACTCCATCTAAAGCCATCCATTCTTTTGCTACATCAATGCAAAATTTTTCCCATCCTTTTGTGTCGACGACACTTAAAATTTCTATATACATCACGTGACCAGATCCGCCATAGACAGGATTTCCAATTATACCAGGACAAAGGAGTGTGTTACTGAAAATTGATATTAAATTGGTACTTCAATTACAGAAACATACGTTTAATCAAAATGCATACATCAGAGGACATAAAACACAACTAACCTAAGAAAAATGGGACAACACCAGCATTATGTTGTACTGTTCAATATGACTGTTTATTCCGGTTATGATTCTCATTTATTACTGCACATTTAAGCAAAAACGTAAAATTGACAAGTTTGAATAGCATATTTACATACAAATATCTATGATGCGTTTTCAGCAATGAATTTTTTTTTTACATACATCATATACTTTGTTGTGGTGTTGATTTTGATAATGTAAATGACTGATTTATGCCACTACCCTTGTATGTTTTGTTTCGTCATCAGCCCTGTAATTAGTATTTTTTTGTTGACATAACATATCATTGATATGGTAATTGTTCTGTAAATAAATTTTTAATGAAAAGCTGAAATATTCGAAACTCTAAGGTTTGTATAGTTTGCCTTATACTTATTTTGCATGTCTTTATGAAGTTTTCGGTTTTCAATTATCTTTAACTTTCTTTTTTTATTTGGCTTACAACTGACTTGATTCGAACGTCACTGATGAGTCTTATATAGACGAAAGGCGCGCAAAATATTATAAGCCTTGTATCAAAATTTAATTTACTTTTATCAGATTTACCTGTGACCCATCATGCGCATTTCTAAAGCAATGTTCAATGGATACTCATCTTTTTCCTCGTAATGATCCACTTTGTTTACAACTACTTGAATTATCTTCAAGAGTCGATGAAAATCTCCCCTTAAATCGAAGGCAAATTCCATGTCATATACAGGAGCCTTTTCAATGTATTGTCTGAAATTCATATAAAAATCAAACATAAATCTGCTTATACTTTGATTTAAAGAGCATAACAGCACGCTATGATTAAATAAAAATATATCAATTCCATGCTATATTCCAATCTTGAAACTTTTAACCAAACAAAGTAGAACATAATGTTTTGTTCAAAATCCAATATATGAAATTGTATTTGATATTCTTTAGTATTTGCTCGTGCATGCCTCGAACAGCGTTGTTTATATCAAATTTTTACAAAATTATTAAGAAGTAATTCGCCGTTATAGAATTCACAGATCTGTGGTTAATTCTACTGATCGTACCTGAAATTGACATTAGCATCACCCAATTGGTTGACATTCACTTTTTACTGACGTTGATTGTCAATCGTTTTCATATCCACTTTACAAAATATTAACAAGAGCTATCTAGAAAAACAATCCAAACTTAATTAACCATTTTGGAATTTCTCCATTACACGTGTGGATGTTTGTATCATCTTCCCCTTCGACACAAGCAAATTTTGCTCACGTTAATTTCATATGAATCTGACGTGAAATTCACGTCAAACATTTCACGTGAGATTCACCTCAAAGGAGCTAATACATGAAACATGTGAAACTCACGTAAAAATGTGCATGTGAATTTCACGTGCATTGAGATTCACATGAATCTCACGTGAATTTCATGTAAATTTTGCTTTGGTATCTTTCATGATTTTAATTAGATTTGAAAATTTTGAAAAATGTTTTTTTATTAGTTGATTAAATTCACGTTAAATTGACATGAACAAAATTAAAGTTATGTTCACGTGAAATTCACATGAGTTTCACATGTTTCACATACGATTCACGTGAAGCTCACATGAACTAATGTCACGTGAGTTTCAAGTATAAGCTCGTTTGAGGTGAATACTTATGAGTTCCAAATGGTGAAGTTGAAGTCATCCCTTCGTAAATTTTACGGACGCCATCACGAGTTGGTTGACCGTTATGGAATAACCGTTTCACAGATGATATCGGATATGTTCCATATGTCGTAACTACAATACCCTTCCCTTTTCACGAATGTGACTTACCGAATTAGACTATTTACCGGATTTGTAATAACATAAGCAACTCGACGGGTGCCACATGTGGAGCAGGATCTGCTTACCCTTCCGGAGCACCTGAGATCACCCCCAGTTTTTGGTGGGGTTCGTGGGGTTCGCTTAGTCTTTAGTTTTCTATGTTGTGTCATCTGTACTATTATTTGTCTGTTTGTCTTTTTGTTTTTGGCCATGACGTTGTCAGTTTGTTTTCGATCTGTGAGTTTGACTGTCCCTCTGGTATCTTTCGTCCCTCTTTTATGCATGTTATGAGTATAATTTCCCTGTATATGTTCGACCTCCAACATTATAACAGGACATACCAGGGGTTATGAGCGTGGGTCACTAATACAAGCTTACCTAAAATGAACAGCGTGTGGAAGTTCCTGATACTGGATACCGCTCGGGTAAATGATTTTTTTTAACGCGCCAAACGATGACAATGCATACCATGGAGTCAAAGAAGGGTTTTCTGCTATGATCGGTGACATGATCGCCATGGCTTCTCCTGTCAGACAATCTTTTATTTCTTTCCAGTCGTAATATGTTTGAGTTGCCGTTTCGACGTGTTCCGTTTCTTTGTTAATGATACGGATCCAGACATCATCATTTTTTGGATTATAATCAAAAAGACTGAGTGAGTTGTAAGGAAACCAAAATATCTCAACCGACCAGTTTTCTTCAAATATTTTTTCTATTTTTGCTGCATTGAAGAATATATCATCTAAACCCATGTATCGATTTTCTACTTTGACGATAACCTCAGGAATAAGTTTTATTGTCATATCAAATATAACTCCAAAACATCCAAAATTTGCACTTATCGCCCTCAACATTTCTTTGTCGTCAGATGTGTAGGTTTGCAGTTTACCATCACTTCCGATTATGCGCATTTTCACTACGTTGTCACTTGGTGTGTTTGCATCCCTTCCTACCCCCTGTATGTTAAAATGAATATATAGATGCATAAACAGTAAGTTACACAGTCACGGGAAAAACGAAATGACTAGAAAAAATTCAATAACTAGTGTAGTCTTGGTGATAAATAGATATACGAAAGGCCAGTGTAGTATATATGTCTGATAACCAGTGTTACTGAATCCGTCAGTATAATAGTCACGAACAATTAGCTTTTCTCGCAGTATTGAAACAATTGTGCAGAGCATCCAGGAAGTCAGTTCACGCTTTGGTACTGACATAAAAATAAGAATATTGTGTTATTTAAACTTCTTCTAAAAAAATTGGGAAAATCATCTCTGAATTCTTGCAAGGACTGGCCATACTTGTTATCGTTTTTAGTTTGGCAAAGAAACTATATCGATCAATGACAAAAAGCCTTAGAAATTTCGCAACACCCTCACTATACTCAAAACATAGTAGGCTATAAAGGCACCGATTTCAATAAGGCCAATCTATTCAATAAAGAATTTCAACTGCCTCATTTAAACAATATACGAAAACAAACTATAGTAGAACCCTTCAAGGCCTCTTATATGGGATTACCAGCTAAAGATTACGTCGAAGATTATATTGTATGTGATCGCTCAATATACCCCCCCACCCCCCCACCCCACCCCCCCCCCCCCCCCCCCCCCACCCCCCTTTACCAGCCCTAACGCTGTAACAGCACGAAAATAATCAAATAATCCGACCAGTAAAAAGCTAATACACAAATAACTAGCACAATGACAAAGTACAGATCGAGTTTACTGTAAGCTAGTACAAAACCCAATTTCACCTAACAAGTAAACCATGTGTATTTTTATACGTTGGATTAAGTTGTTTTATGTAATGTATCCGTTTTTATTCTGTAGTTAGTCCCCACCTCGGTTTTATCATGTATATCTATTATATAGTCATTTTATAAGATTTACTGTTTGCAAAATTATAAATTATTCTTAATAATAAGGATGTTCTTGTCCCAGGCAGAAAACCCTGGCCGTGTTAGGCGCAACTTTTTGTAAGTTTTGGTCCTCGGTGCCCTTCGGCTTTGTACTTGTTTTGGCTTTCAAGTTTTTTTCATCTGAGCGTCACTGGAAGGTCTTGTGTGGACGAGACGCACGTCTGGCGTATTGAATTTTAAGCCTAGTACCTTTTGGTAGCTATAGTTCGTGTGTTTCTTTGTCCTATATGTTCTCCCATTTATTTGTATTTGTGGTCCTGTCATGTGATGTTGTCGTTTTGGTGTTGTTTTTGACGTTGCCATTAAAGCGGGAGGTTTGGCATGCCACAAAACCAGGTTCAACCCACCATTTTTTTTTAAATGTCCTGTAGCAAGTCAGGAAAATGGCCATTGTTATATTATAGTTCGATTCTGTGTATGTTACATTTTAAAGTTGTGCTTTTGTTGTGTCGTTGTTCTCCTCTTATATTTGGTGCGTTTCCCTCAGTTTTAGTTTGTAACCCGGATTTGTTTTTATATCTATCGATTTATGAGTTTCGAACAGCGGTATACTACTGTTGCCTTTATTTTTCCTAGATTGAAATATATCAATCAGGTCATAACCAACACATGTAGTGTTAAGACGTTATACGCAGTCTAATAAAAGGATGGTCTTTAACTATAGGTTAATAATGTACTAGAGACTTTAAACTAAAATGTATGGTAAAAATTATAATAAAACAACACATTTAAAAAGAGTTGAATAAACTTATGTGCATAGTAAAATTATAATTAAACTGTACATTTAAAGTTCAGCATATTAAAACTGGTATAATATGATAGTGACATTGAAACTCACGTGACAACCTGTTGCTACAACACTAACCATCTGAACAACATCTAAAATAACATTAGCAGGAATATGCAATTTGTTTTTTATTTGGAACTTCTTAAAGTCTCCAGTCGTCACTCCAGTCATGATGTCCACTTCACCCTTTTGACGCTATAATACAATAATCATTCATAGAGGATCATATCATAAACCATAACAATATAGATAAAACAAAATGAAAAGTTGATGTTCCAGATATTGGGTTGGGAGTTGGACATATCGGGTCTTTGGCAAACACCTTTTCAAGTTTATCATTATTTACGATGCTAAGGTCTACAGTAATAATGTGACCAGATGCACCAAATGAACTATACCAATCGTTTTTTTATTTTTATTTTTATCTTTGAGGGTTATTGTCTCTGATACTTGACAAGTAAAGTTTAATCTTTGAAGTAATCAGTATTGTTTTATGCATATATATTTGGTGTTAAATAAATATTGCAGTTTGTTAAATAAAGAAAATTAGAATTCTAGTTTAACTAGTTTAAGTATGGCTTCAGTTATTCTCATCTAATTCATTTACCCTTAAAGAATTAGTTGCAGTAAACTACATATCTTTGATAGTCTTCTTTATCTCATTCAAAACTGTTTTCCATTTACTTTCGTATAAAAGCTTGACATAGTACATACGCATTTTTCCATCGCCTTCATTCATATTATCGTTTTTTGTATCCTGTTTTAAACCTTTTACTCATACGTAGACATTATGTACAACTAATCGAGATTTGGAACAATTAAGAGCTTACAAATTGAATATACATTTTTCTTTATTGTCTATAATAATCATTTTCATATTATACCAATGAAATGTATCGAAATTGATGGTTGATGACTGATCAACGTTAAGCGACAAATCAAATGCAGATTCAAGATGAGAATAAGTTTATGCAGTAGGAGTATGTCATTTTCTTTGTCCTGATCGTCTTAGCCGGATTCCTAATGTGCAAAGTGTAGTTTAAAAAAAAAGTTCATAAAAAGATACCAAGACATTGTTGATAAATATTTCCTACAAACTTCACAAATAATACATGATGGTATTGAAGTATAGATTCTAGGTACTGACGTTGTTTATCATCCTAATTACGCGTTATACTGTTAATTTTATTTGTATTCATATATTTTAAACCTTTACTGTTTAATCCATTTTTGGTAATATCCTTTTTGCGTGGCTCGGTATTTATACATCTCGCCGTTGTGATATGTGCTATGGCCATTTTTTTTTATTCTTGTTTTTTATTTTTATTTATGTGCTTTGTCTATAGATTTTCGATATGTCATTGTGTTTTTCTGTGTTGTAATAGTTATTTGGTTTTATAGTGATACATTGTAAAGATAATAACATAATAACACAATGTTGACCTCTGTACCCCTATTTTTGACGTTTTTTTACCTATCACGTCTGTTTGTTTTGCTTACACGTTGTTATCAATATAATGGAATTATATGCAACCGTCAAAGTGAGAGGTTTAGGTAGCTATTAAACCAGGTTTAATCCACCATTTTCGACATAAGGAAATGCCAGTACTAAGTCAGGAATATGACAGTTGTTTTCCATTCGTTTGGTGTATTTGAGCTTTAAATTTTGCACTTTGTTTTTGGACTTTCCGTTTTGAATATCACTTGGAATTCAGTATTTTTGTTGTCTTACTTTTCACAAGGGATACATCCACACGAAGACACAATTTGGACATAGTATCCTGAATCCCAGCAGAGTAGACATTATTCTTACTTCTTATTTGTGGTTACGCAGTAGATAAATAAGGTAATCTAGGCTTTGAATCAGGTAAGGACTGAACTAGGAATTGCTACTACGAGACCATCAGAGAGGTACAGTGTTTGTATCCTCTTCGGATTGTAAATATATTACCACTTACATTAGCTATTCTTATTCTGGATCCATCTTTGTAGTCGCTTTTCATATCTTTAACATAAATAAGTAATTGCTTGCTGTCTGCAAATATTGGTGCCCAGCTGTGTCCAGTTCCAGCACACCTTACTCGCAAACCTATTTCAGATGCTGCTAAAACTAACTTCTGTAGTTCATCTTTTGTAGTAGGAGTGGAAGAAATAACCTGTATAGCTTGTGTCTCTCCCCAGTTTTCAAAAGTCTCTATCTGTACAGATGGGGAATTCCTAGTTCTCTTTTGCAACTTTAACAGTCTATCTTTAATATCATCCTGAAAATACAATGTTATTTTCATGCAATAAAAGACAGCGTATTGATCAGTTAATAGATTATTTATTGGTAATTTAAAACATTTGGTTTGACATATGCATTATATTGTCTTGTCTATTATGTTCGTTACTCATACTAAACACCAAGCGATAAAATAGCCAAACACCAATGGTTTAATCTACATGGTAAATTGTTATGCACCAACGTCAACTTAATCTTCATTTATTGTAATGTTAATGTATTGTGACATCTGAATGTTACTACTGATTACTTTTTAAGAAAGTATATTAAAAAATATGTTCTATATATTTCAGAGCAGCTCCAATTTTAGTGGGGTTTGTGTAGCTCAATATTTAGTTTCGAGGGGTTTTATGTTTTTCTTTTTTTTTTCGGCAATGGCGTTGTTAGTTTGTTTTCAACTTATAACCACAAAATGTTTTATCATCCCTTTGGTGTCCGCCTCTCTTTTTTCGACCTATGAAAATGGTGCGTATGGCAATTTAAACATGTTTTAATGCAGAAAATGAACAGTGCAAACAATATTAAACATAAAATTATAAACTTCATTCTGCGGAAATCTGCAAAAGCAAACATAAATTTGTTTACATATTGATTTGGAAACTTTTATTTTGCGATGTACCTTTAGTTTAGTCCCTCAGTTGACCATTTTTTATTATCAATTATTTCATACAGCTATTTTATGAACTTTGTCAGCTTCTATATTATGTTTCAAATATTAGCAAAGAATAAATCCTTAATATGCTTTCTACTAAGTGCCTAAAATCATATCGTCTTTTCTAAATGCACTTTGTACGGCTGTGCATTCATTATATCAATCCAACGGTTTATGAATAAGGTTCGGATCTTTCGGATTAATTTTTGTCGTCCGAGCAGAAATTCAGCGTGCCGATACAAAATACATTATTATGTGAAAAAGTTAAAGATCGGGCAAAATAAATTGTCCTTTCGTCTGAAAAACGCTTTTAAATTAGCCATTGTATGGCCCTTTAAAGCTTGCTGTTAGATGTGAGCAAAGGCTACATGTTGAAGGCCGTTCTTTGACTTGTAATTGTTAACTTTTTATACATTTAGACTTGGATGGAGAGTTGTCTCATTGGCACTCATACCACATCCTCTTATTTATATTTTCAACATATTTTCGGGGAATAATTGAACATTTGTGTTTTTAGTCCCCTGTAGCTTTTATTTGGGACAATTTCATGTTGGAGGTTGCCTTGGGTAAAACGGTTTCCGTTTATGTTTTTGCTAATATTTGAAGAAATCTATAATCAATCTCATTGGCTTCGAATTCCAGCAAAATCAACATAGGGACATTTCCATCTAACATAGGTTATTTGTTTTTTCGTCTTCTCCGCTTTTGCAATTTGTAAGCATGTTTTCTTTTCGCAAAAACAGTTAAGTACCTCACATTTATTAACAGAGGTTTCGAGTGCTCGTATGATTTGGTTGTCATCTTCTTTGAGAGGAATGTTTTACTGTTATCGTATCTTGCTACTCATGAAAACTGATTTTTTTAGTATTTCTAATATAAGGGATACAGCAATACTCTTGATTGTTAACCCTTTGGACAATAGGTAACTTTTGTCATTTACATTATCAAAATTTATTCTCCAAATATCGCGTTTTATTTGCAAACCAGACAATGTTTTTACCGGAACTTAAGCGTCTATTGTCTTGTAGACTTCCCAGTGGGTTAAGTAGTAACGATGACCAGTAGAATTAACAATATTTTACCTAAAACGTCATCTTAAAGTAAAAAAATTGGCTTTATCGCGCTCATTGTGTTATCATGTGATTGTGTAATTTTAGCTGCTTTGACATATGAGGCAGCCATTTTTTTTAATTTTTTTTTTTTAATCGGTTTTGTCAGTAGACATCGACAAATTGACGATTTACCGGGAAGTACCTCGAAATATTGAAAACTGTTATTTAATAAAAGTAGTGTAGCTACCTATGTTCTTCAAAATATACAAGTATGATATCAAATATTCTTGTAAATCTTCGAACAAATCTAATTTACTACGGAGATATGTAACACCCGTCAAATTAGTTCAGGGCCCCAACTCTAACATTCGCATTCTCAGCCGATTCAAACTTTCACGATCCATCAGTATATAAATAAGATGAGGTATGATTGCCAACTCTCCACAAGAAACCAAAATACACAGAAATTTACAAGGTCTTTATGACAAGTGGTTCGTTCACATTTTTGTTGTTGTTTGATTTTTATTGTTTGTTTTGTTTTTTTTTTCTTTTTTCTTTGGGGGGAAAGGGGGGGGGTATTTTTTTTTAGTGTATTTTCAATGGGTGAGGTTCAATTAAATTGTATACTTTGAAATGATATTGGGAGGGCTTAACAAAGGTGACAATGTGATGTTCCATTCACAATATACAAATGCATTTATTTGTCTTGATACCGATTGCGAAGCTCTTGAAAACATTAAGATATTTACCTGGTCGGACAAATCTGGAACAATATGCTTTGCTTTTGGATTCTTTTTCTGAAATAAAGACATATTATATTATCAAGAAAGCTGTTTAAAAAAGACGTAATAAGAATAGGAATAATGAAAGTGATACGACGGTTTACGCGCAGTGAGAACTGCGTACACTTTCAAATAACAACGCCGTCTTTCCTGTTGTAAATGAAATTCGTATTTCTACTAGATTTTTGCATACACTGTTGAGCATGTGTACCATACCTTCGTTTTGTTTCGCAGACGCTTTTTCACTGTTATGGTTTCAAATGTACATGTTTTAATCATTTCATTTGAATGGTTTTTGTTTTTGCTTATTTATATAATTATTTTTTCAAGTTCAACGTGAACCAAATGGTGCGTTGTTCGTGCTTTCCAAATAGTTAGTCATTAAAAAAGAGATCTTAAGTCTGACTTTTAATGTCTCTTTGTGTGTGTGTGTGTTATAAATACAAATTCTAAAGAATTGTAACAAAAGTGGTTATACCTGTTCCTCAAACAATGCCATGCAGTCAACCATGACGATTTGGTCATTACACCTGGCATGTTTAATCCAGTCATTGTCTCTGTCGCCTAGTTCAAGTATTGCCATCTTTTTTTCACTCAGCGCCTTTTTTAAACAAATTTTTAGCTGTTTACTATCACCAGGTCTTTCATGTTCGACGATTTCAGGATGAAACTAAACAAAGTGAAGAAAAAAGCATTGCGAATGAACTATAAGATTATCGAACATTGTAATAAAAAACAGACTTTATATACATTTTCAGCTTAAATTTTGTGAATATAAGACTTTGTGTGTGCAAAAAATATCCTTTTCTCATTTTGGATTTTTTTTTCGTTTTGGTGAATTAGACTTAGAGCGAAATAAGTTGAGATGAAACTGTTACTCTTCCAGCACATAAACATGCAACTTCAATTTCCTTTCTATTTTTCGTTTTTTTGTTTGTTAGCTCGTGATGCTAAATTTTGAGTGGTTTGAGAAGTATTCATTATTCTTTTGTGTATGACAGAGGTTTTAGATCTTTCTATGTCTTATACATCTTGATTCCCTAAGATATGTTCCGGTCACGCTTGTTTGAGCTACGAGCGTATATCGCAATCAATCGTTTTTCAAATCAATCAGCAGACAAACTTCTTCTCCATTTGAAATATTTTTCAAAACACGTTTATTTGTAGCCTTTTTTTGTTAGATGAAAATGTGTTATTATAAGTTGACAATATTTCATATTTTTTCATTAGTGTACGAATTTAATTACTGTTTTCTAATGACGGCTTCTATACTGATGATGTCTTTCTTCGAATGTCGCATGGCTAATTTGTCTTTACAAAATATATATAATCAAAAGAGAAACATACTAGTCGAAAATCATGGTAATGAGCGTCCCATATAATTGTCATGCTACAATCGTGCAGTATAAGCGTATACATATAAGTTTAAGTGTATGGATATACGTTATACGTGATAACAATGAAAACGATGTCAATATCAAGTGACTCTTGGGACTTCTTTGAGAAATACTCTTCGAAAATATTACGGACGTTATTACGAGTTGGTTGACCGTCATGGCATATCTGTTTCAGATGACGACGGCTATGTTCCTTCTTTTCCTCGAATGCCACCTACTGAATTAAACTTATCATGGGTTCTTACTTACTTGAGCAAGATGCCACATATGGAGTAGACTGATCACCCTTTCAAAGCACCTGCGATCACCCCCAGTTTTTGATGGGGTTCGTGTTGTTCAGTCTTTAGTGTTTCTATGTTGTGATTTGTAAACTATTGTTTGCATTTTGATCTTTTTTTTGTATTTGCCATGACGTTGTCAGTTGTTTTTTACTACTGAGTTTGACCGTCCCTTTAGTTTCTTTGGTCTCTATTTTTTAATCTATGGAAAGGTCATGAGTTATATCTTACTTTTTCTGACGATGTATCGTATTCCATTTTAAGTTACAACCTGAAATGAAAAAAAATAAATATTATCAATGTTCCTATTGTATGAAACATTTTCTTTGCTCTGCATTATATACGCTTTACGAAAAAACGTATCAATGTTTCAAGGAACATCACTTATGAATCCAGGACTTCAGATTATTGCATTGGGTATAAAGATACATTCTAAGGCTACAAAAATTGTATTGAAAAAATGTCTGTCTAAAAGGTAGCCAGATATTGCGCTTAAATACCTTCATTTAAGTCAATAATAAGCGATTAAACAGGAGAGACATATAAGTGTGTGTGTATATATTTTGTTCTACATGATATTTTTAGCTGTAACATATGTCTTAATAACCCATAATCTGAGGGCAAGATTACCTTATATATAAGTGAACTATACGTTATCGATGATCAATTAAAAGCAAGTGGACCTTGATCTATACCTTATAATCATTCCATAGACCAAATATAATTGTAATAGAGTTTATTGTATCTGATAAATGAATCTTATCAAGAGCATTTAACGATGATTGATTAATCATGAAAATGAATTCAGCGAACATATTCACCATACCTTGATTATATACACAGCATGTATTATACCTATTACGCATAGTTTATAATTGACTATTTTTTGGTGTTTAACGCCACTTTTAACACTCTTTGATATATCATGGCAGACACTGTTTTTCTTGGCGTAGAAAGTCTGTGTGCCAGCAGAGCACCATCGAATCCCGGCAGGAAAATTGACAATCCCAGTCAGTTCCGATCTAAGTCGACAGTATTCGAACTCTCAACTTCAGTGTTGACAGGCTGAATGAACTACTTAGATCACTAGACCAACGATGTATATTATCTTAGAACAGGTCCTTATCTTCATAACTTAATTTTGATTACTTACTAAAACATGAGGCGTGTGGATGTAAATCGTTATCATACTTTTGTATCTGAACTGAGAGAAAAAAGTAGGTATTATCCTAACAGAATCCCTTAAGAACTTGATATGACCACTTGATATTACCACTACTGGAAGAGGTTTCATTCAAATGGGTATCATCAGCCAAGTAGTTAGCACAACTGAAATTTTATTACATGTGTTATCATTGATATGGTCATAACTAAAAATCAGCTGTTTACAAAACTTTGATTATTTCGAAAAATACTGATTTTCTAACTCAGGAATATATGATCATAGTTATATTGGCAAAACCTTTCAGAATTTTGGGATGTCAATGCTCTTTTCAACATAGTGCTTTATTTTACCTTTTCATTTCTTATTCGAGCGCCACTGATAAATCTTTTGTAAATGAAACGCACATCTGGCGTACAAAATTTTAATCCTGGTATTCATGATAATTGTCAATAGCAAGGTGAAGCCACGACAATTTTAGTACTGATTTTTTTTCTGTTATTTTGTTATCTTTTCCTTGTATTTTTTTGTTAAATAGCCCTTGACGAGACCAGATGGAATTGATTTTATTTCTTGATAGACCAATATTTTTGTGAAGTTGGATATTTAACTTCTATCTTAGTTCAACTTGTTGTCGTGGGGTTCGGGTTACTTAATCTTTTGTTATTTATAGTTTTATTACCTAAACGTGAAATTTAGATAAGTTTTTATAAACATCCTGATGGACATTTTTTGCAATAAGAATTTATGAGCACCTGCTACCCCTATACCTACGGGGGAAAATCATCATTTCAGAATCACAGAGATAACATGGCGATGAGAATTAAATTTTTGAACTGGCTACATGAAGTTTGATGAATATATAAATCATTCACTTGATCATGTTGATGCCTTAATTCCTTCTCCTTGAAAAATAATGATGTATCTTCATAGACAGTACTATTATTAACACTTTGCTTTAACAAAATAACTTGCTTGAGTTATCAAATCTCTTTTAATCATACATGTCACGGAATCTTATATTATTAAAAAGGAAACATGAGAATACATATAAGACGTGAATTAGATGTGACTTAGTTCGGTTGTCTTGTTTGAAACACATACTTAATACATAAAGTAGCCTTATTACTTTCGTTTCATATAGACACATATTTGAATATAGAAGGATTTTTGTTATTACGATCACAGAGAAGGGCATATGTAAAGCTTGTGACAGAATGTTTTTGTCCCCACCCCCGTAATTGATATTTTGACAATCAAAATTTGATAAAAAGAATTCAAAAATTAAACAATAGCTTATGTCACGCACGATTTCATAGTATAAAACGTTTGACAATGGTGTATTGTTCAACCATATTTGCAGTTGTTTCATTTCATTAATTTAAACATGTATTGTAAACTGAATAATATTTAAAACAAAAAGCCTAACGACATAGTATATGACATGCATTTTATTGTAAACATTTCGTTCTTGCATAGCAACAGCCTCGTACTTTTATCATAATATTGTATGTATTAACTTGTTTATTATTTACAGCAATTTGTTGACCTCTAAATGTCATTTTCAAACGTTTAGATTTTATCGATCTTTCTCAAAGTCAATCCTAAAAAGCGCCTCGGATAATGTCGGAGGCACCAGCTTTATAAAAAGATGTTTTCATTGTAGTCCTCGTTTTTAATTACCACTGAGCTGAGACAGTTAAAAGAAGTCAACTACAAGTTAAAGAAAGTACGATCATTATAGAAGATAGTTTGTTTGGGACTGGCATGATTCAAATTAAAATGTTTTTCTATAGTTTATTCTGAGAAATCCATTCATTCCGACTTGTATTGCCCGCGGCAATTTATCTGTATCATATTTTTTTTTAATTTGTCGTTTTCGTTTGTTTGTAGTCTCCGTTTAATGATTTATCCTGAGAAGCGCAATTCATTCCGACATGTCTTGCGCGCCGCCATTTAGCTGTATCATACTTTTTAATTTTTTTTTTTGGTTTGATTATAGTCTCCCTTAAATCTTTATTTCATCTTTTTTTCAGTCGATTCTGATCTTCATATAGATTTACGAAACTTGTCCATGGTGACCGAATATACTTTTGATTGTTTCGATTGGTGTCCGACATACGATTTCCTCTTACCTCCTTTTTTCCGTATCAAAGACTAATACACTATCAATTACATGGACATGGTCAAAGTAAACAGCCGAAATGTTACGGTCATTTAGTTTCCCTTATTCTCATAATAAACTGTAAAGTCTTCGCGTTGCCCATATTGCAACAGTTGTTTAAAAGGTATATACATAAAAGGCTTGTATTTGATTGTTCAATTTTCTAATTTGCTCCTATTAATCAATATTAACTAGAATGAGAATGATTTTTAGTGCTATACATACTGAGATGAGGTATGATTGCCATTGACACAACTTTTCATCAGAGACTAAACGACGTAGGTGTTATTAACTATAGGTCACCGGACAATACTTCTTTTTTATTATGTTTATATCTTTTCATCTGATGAAACTTTACTAGTAAAAGTAAACATTGACATATTGTGATAATATTGGATGATTAACAATTATATGATTACAGGTACAGAGTGTACATATCACGCTCTTTGTTGAAGTGTTATTTCAACTATTACGAAATTTCCTTTCGCCATTTAAAATTTGAAACAAAATTTCAACAACCCTATAAAGGCGATTATATGCGCTATTTCATGCCAATATCGCATTGTTCAAAAAAAAAAGGGGGGAAGATGTTGGGTTAAACCAGAGCTAAACAAACCACTGGTATGACATATGTGTATAGTTTTGTTAAATTTACAAAATATTGTGAGCAACTCAAATAGTCATAATTGATAAACGTGACAATAATTAAGATCATGTTTCTTCATTTGGAATATCAAAAAGGAATTTCATAAAATTAAACAAAAGTTATATAATGTGATATGTCATAGTACTTGATTCTGAAAAGATCCTTTTGTTCAATTATATGACAACTGACAGCTTTAAACAATGCAAACTTAATTTATGATCTTAGTCAATGTATTATAAAAAGCATATGGACCTGAACTGATATCTTAAAAGTGTTTATTTTACTGTTTCAAAGTAACAACGCTTTTATACAAACTATTATATAACACTGCTTGTGCTATTTGTAAACTTCAATAAACAAATCTATCAGGTGACACTTATAATATTTTATTCAGCCTATGTGCAAAAGATCTACAGAAGTCATTAATGTAATTGTTCTTATAAAACATACGGAAAACTCATTACAGGATTTCAAAGCACGTGAAGCGGTTTCAAAATCTTTGTGAGGTCTTTGAACTGTCTGTTTTGTTAAGATGGATGTATAAATACCCTGCCACGTCCGGTCTATGTTTTTGTAAGATGTTTTTTCTGCTTTGTTTCAATCTGATGAGTTAATCCCTGTTCAACTGATTTTTATAGTATGTTGTACTGTTTCACCACTATCCCAGGTTAAGAGGATGGTTTGTGCCTTCAAACATGTTTATCTAACCCCGCAACATTCGTTATGTGCATGTCAAAAAACAGAACCCTGAAGTTAAGTGGTTGTTGTTTGTTCATGTCTGTCATATTTGGTTTTTTTTTGTTAATTGGTTTGTTATAAATGAATAAGGCCGTTAGATTTCTCAATTGAATGTATTCATATTTTTCATGGCGTGGCTTTTTTATAGCGGTATGGGTGTTTCTCATTGTTCAAAGCCGCAAGGTTGCATATAATTGCTCACATCCACTTCATTGGTACTTTACTGAATAGTTGTCTCATTGGCAATAATGCCACATCTCCTTATTTTCATATGGGGGATAGAACTCACAGACATTATTTAAGAATTTTGTTGTTGGAAGGATTAATTGATCAATTTATTGTCCTTTTTAAATGATTGCAAAATATCATTTGTACTCAATATGTACCCCATCATTATCTTACATATTAAATATGCATTAGCATTTACTTACATATGACATGAACTTCTAATCCACAAGTCTTTAAAAGGTTTTTTTTTCACCGTTTAAATTGCAATGAATTGAAATCATTCCTCAGTCCAATGACAGGTTTCGCCTAAAGTATACATAGTCGAATACAATACTGTGTTGTAGTATTACCATGCATTGCTTTTGTATTCCACAACACATTGTCCAATCAAATTGCTTGAATCGTCCCCGATATAATACATGCGTGTTCATGTACATGGTAACTATGCTTTGATAACCACCAGCTTAGGGAAACATACCTGTTGATTGTAGTCAAGGTATGGTTAGTGGAACAATTAGTGTCGTAGTATACTTAATATAAAAGTAAATGTCTCAAATTTCTGAACAGTATGTGATTCGTAAAACTATTTCTTTCCGATAACATAAATGAACAGGACTGAAATTAAGCAAACAAAACGATGATGATAGCTATCCAAAAAAACATTTTATGATGGCATGGGAAGGGACTTGACACCTTTCGTCATGTATTAAAGCACTTTTTGGATATCTGCAACAAATCCCCCCCCCCTTTTTTAACATTGCAGTGTACTAACATGAGCAACACGACTGGTGCCACATGTGGAACAGAAACTGCCTACCCTTCCGGAGTACCTGAGATCACGCCCTGTTTTTGGTGGGGTTCGGGTTGCTCAGTCTTTAGTTTTCTATGTTATGTTTTGTGTACTGTTGTTTGTTTGCACCATTTTGACACTTGGTCATAGATTAAGCTCTATGTTTATTATATAATTAGGAAAGAAATTCTCAGTAAATATTTTGATTGAAATTAAAAAAAAACAAAACAAATGTATATTTTATAAAAGTAAAGTTAACATTACGTTAAAGTAAGTATTAAACTTCATCTCTGTAATTTCTGTTTAGAGAAAACACAGAGATGTATTCCTTGAAACATTAAAACCAAAGATAGAAGAGCAATCAACTTTGATAGGTTTTGTGAAACAGTCGGGTAGTCAGAAATATCATTTGAAAGTGTTCAGGCCTGATTGAATTGTGCATGAAGGATGAAACCTTTCGAAACCCTTATGATGTTAAAATGTAATAGTCGTATCGAATACACCTTTTACATGTCTACTTAAATTTTGATTTTTCTTTTCACTTGATAAATAATGTACAAAATGTAATGTGCAATTCAATGCATTACTTTGCAAAAGTAATTGTAATTGAATGCATTACTTTGATAAATGCATGTAATTGGAATTGTAATTTAATGCATGGTTTTGTCAAAATAATTGTAATATAATGCATTACATTGCATTTGATAAGTGCATGTAATTGGAATTGTAGTTTAATGCATGGTTTTGTCAAAATAATTGAAATATAATGCATTACATTGCAATTTAATTCGCCCCATGCCTGCATCAGGTCAATAGTCTACATAATGGTTTTACACTAGTAATTTTTGGAGCCTTTTATAGCTTGTTGTTCAGTGTGAGCCAAGGCTCCATGTTGAAGGCCTTACTTTGACCTATAATGGTTTATTTTTACACATTGTGACTTGGATAGAGAGTTGTCTCATTGGCACTCATACCACATCTTCTTATATCTATAACTGAATTATATTTATTGTCGAAAATCGCAGTGGAGAACAGTTGCTATCGTTAATGTTTATCTAGCTTTTTAAAATAAAAAAATGATTGAGATGTGTGATGATTGGCAATGAAACATCTATCCACTTTTGACAAAAGGACAAGGATTCAAACAACTGAAAAACATCGTACTGCCGTAGAATTTAGCAACATCCTCAACACATAGTAGTTTTAAAAGCCTCGGTCCCTGATATGGGACAACCAACTACAGAATATGTTGAGGATTATATAATTTGTGGGGCTCAATCTCCACCTTATCTCTCCTTACTGCTGTAACAGCAAAAAAATAGAACAAATTGTAAAAATTATTTGAAAAGGCTCTACAAATCCGATCAGTTCCAAGCTTATACGCAACTTACACAACCTACACAAAAACAAAGTACTGATCAAAGTTACTGAATGCTACTACAAAGCCCAATTTCAACTAACAAATACACCATTGATTTCCTAGACTGAAATATACCAATCAGTTCATAATCAGCACATTTAGTGTAAAAACGTTATACGCAGTCTGACAAAAGCATGGCATTTAAATGAAAGTTTATAATGAACAAGAGACATCTAAATACAATGCACGGTAAAACGTATACCAAAACTGTACATTCAAAAAGAATTTAATATATTAATACTGCTATAATTTGATGTTCACATTAAAACTCACGTGACAACCTGTTGCTACAACACTAACTATCTGAACAACATCTAAAATAACATTAGCAGGAATATGCAATTTGTTTTTTATTTGAAACTTCTTAAAGTCTCCAGTCGTCACTCCGGTCATGATGTCCACTTCACGATTTTTGTTGCTACAATACAATAATTATTAATAGAGGATCATATTTTAAAACATACCAGTATAAAAAAAAAAGTAGATTTTCATTGTACATACGAGTCAACCTACGTAGACATTGTATAATGTTAAAGCCATATTGTTGTTGAGAAATCATTGTGTTTTGTTATGAATTCCCTGTTCTTTAAAAAGACATTCAAAATAATATTTTTGCATATGAAAACAATGTTGTTAGCGTCTTTGTCTGCTAAAATAACAATAAATTTGTCTTCGAGAGACTATAAACTTTCATAATCTAGAGTTTGTTGCAAGGGTTAAAAACCCGAGTGCTAATCGTACGTCGTAAATTAAAATGTGGTTCTGAATGGATGACAGAAAGCTTTTATCTTTCAGTCATTTTTTTTCTAATTTTGGTTAATCTATCTCTCAATTAAGCCCTTCCTCTCATAGTCCTATACTGCTTCCATCATTGTTCCAGATATTGGACTAGGGAATTGGATATATCGGGTCTTTGGCAAACACCTCTTCAAGTTTATCATTATTTACGATACCAAGGTCGACAGTAATAACGTGACCAAATGCACCAGATGAACTAGACCTATAAGGAGTTTGGATTTTTTGTATTCTTGAGGGTAAGGGTTTCTTTTACCATCTGGTGGTTAAAAAACATGAATGCAATATGTTTGGTGTAAGTATATTAAAAGAAAGTTGAAGTTTAATCTTTAAAGTGATCAGTATTGTTTTCTGCATATATTTTTGATGTTAAAGAAATACTACAATTTGTTAAATAAAGAAAATTATAATTCTAGTTTAAGAATAGCTTCAGTTATAATTTTCTTATCCATTTACCCTTAAAGAATTAGTTGTAGTTTACGGCAGATCTTTGTTAGTCTACGTTATCTCATTCAGAATTGTTTTCCATTAACTTTTGTATAAAAGCTTGAAATAGTACATGCACATTTGTCCATTGACTGCAATTTGATTATGGTTTTTCATATTATCTTTTCTATATCCTGTTTAAGTCCTTTTATTGATACGTATACTTTTTTACAACTAATCTAGACTTGGAACAATTACGAGCTTCACATATTGAACATACACTTTTCTATATTGTCTTTAATAATAATTTCAATTTGATACCAATTACATGCCCTAAAATTGATGGTGGATGGTAGAATAACGTTAAGTGACAAATCAAATGCATATTCAGGACGAGAGCAAATGTATGCGATATGAGTATGACACCATCTTTGTCCGGGCCCGCTACACCGGATATTTAATGTGTAAAGTGTAGTTCACAAGATATAAATTTGCACGAAGATTACGATATGAGTATAACACCTTTTTTTGTCCGGACCCGCTGAACCGGATATTTAATGTGTAAAGTATAGTTCACAAGATATAAATCCGCACGAAGACACAATTTGGATACATTATCCTTACTCCGAGCAGTGCTGACTTTTCTCTCACTCCTCTTTTTGTAAATACGCTGTAAATATATATGTTATTCTATGGTTTGACCCAGTTAGAAACCGAGAAAACTAGGAATTGCTACCACGAGACCACTAGAGAGGTGTTGTGTCACGAAACGGATTGCAAAATAATATTTAAAACTGTTCACTTATGAAATGAAAGTTAATTTACATACAACATTGGAATTATAATGCAACATATATTACCACTTACATTAGATATTCTTATTCTGGAACCATTTTTGTAGTCGCTTTTCATATCTTTAACATAAATAAGTAATTGCTTGCTGTCTGCAAAAAGGGGTGCCCTGCTGTGTCCAGTTCCAGCACATCTTACAAGCAAACCTTCTTCAAACGCTGCTAAAACTAACTTCTGTAGTTCTTCGTTTGTAGTGGGAGAGGACGAAATAACTTGAATAGCTTGTGTATCTCCCAAGTTTTCAAACGTCTCTATCTGTAGAGATGGAGAATTTCCAATTCTCTTTTGCAACTTATATAGTCTATCTTCAATATTGCCCTGAAAACAGATTGTGTATTCCTTGCTTTAAAGATAGTTGATTGGTCAGTTAATAGATAATTTATTGGTAATCTGAATCATTTGGTTTGACATATGCATTACATTTTTTGCCTCTTGTGTTAGTTTCTCGTGATCAACATCAAGTGATACAACAGCAAAACAACAACAGCTTGCTCTTCATGGTCAGTATGTATGCATCAATCTCAACTTAATCTTTATTTATTGTAATGTTAATGTTTTGTGAAATTAAAATGTTACCACTGATTACTTTTAAAAGACAGTATATTGATTGATATATTCTATATACTTATTAGCAGAACCGTTTTAGTTTGGTTTGTGAAGCTTAGTCTTTTGTTTAGCATTACATGTATGTCTTTTGTAGACCGTTGATTGTCTTTTCGGCTTTTTTCATTTTTTTTTCTTTTTCATTTTTTTTTGCCATGGCGTTGTCAGTTTGTTTTCGACTTTATTTGACTATGATAGTTTGAATATCGCTTTGGTATCCACCGCCTCTTTTTTCTACCTATTGATAGGGTGCATACGGCAATTTTAATATGCAAAGAATGAACAGTGTGAAAAGAATTAAAGATGAGAATATATAAATCATTCTGCGGAAATTTGAAGCTTTTTTTCGTGTCTCCTATATATTAGGTTTGCCTTGGGTAAAATGGTTGTTTCCTTTTATTTATTTACTCTAATTTGAAAAACGTACCTATATGATCAAAACAAATTTTTGTAGAGAAATCAATTTAAGTTTCTTTTAACTTATACTACTTTTTTGTTCGTATTCTCAGCCGATTTCAACTTTCACGATCCATTTGATTTTGTGATATGTGGTTCGTTCGAATGTTGTTTTTTTTTAATTTAAAAAAAATAAAAAATTATTAATGGTTTAGATTCAATAAAAAAAAATTATACATTATTTCTTATGATAAAAATAACAATATAATTCATAATATACTATTCTCATTTGCAAATACATTTATTCTTCTCGCCACCTATTGAGAAGTTCTTGCATTTAATTTAAATACTCACCTAGTCAGACAAATCTGGGTGATATGTTTCGCTTTTGTGTCGTTGTTCTCTTATATTTGATGCATTTCCCTCAGTTTTAGTTTGTAAACCGGATTTGTTTTTATCTCTATCGATTTATGAGTTTCGAACAGCGGTATACTACTTTATTTTGGACTCTTCACCTGAAATAAATACACATTATGAAATTGAGAAAGTTGTTAAAATATAACATAATTAGAACCGGAAGATTAAAAGTAATGCTACGGGTTACGCGTATAAAATGTAGTGGAAATTGCGTACAATTTTAAATATTCCATATTCCCTGTTTTAAATTTAATTCGTTTTTCTTACTAAAGTTTAGCATATACTATTGAGCATGTGTAGCATGCTTGCGTCTTATTTCGTAAATTATTTTTTACTTTTATGGTTTCAATGTACTTGTTTTAACTATTAATTAATGACTTATATTTTATTTAATATATAACTTTTTGAAAAGTTCAGCAATATCAAATGGTGTGTAGTGCGTGCTTTCCACATAGTTAGTCGTTAAAAGGTGATATAATGCATGTCTTTACATGTGTGTGTGGGTGTGTGTGTGTGTGTGTGTGTGTGTGTGTGTTGTAAATAAAAATACCCAAGATTCGTAACAAAACTTATAATACCTGTTCCTCATACAATGCTTTACATTCAACCATGACGATTTGTTGTTCATTACATCTTGCACCTTTTATCCAATCATAGTCTCTGTCTCCTAGTTCAAGTATGACTATCTTTTCGTCTCCTAATGCCTTTTTTAAACAGCTTTTTGGTTGTTCACTATCACTGGGTTGATCATGTTCGACAACTACAGGATGAAACTAGACGAAAAGACTCACATCAGTTGTATGTACAAATGAATTCTCAGAATTATGTATATATATATATATATATATATATATATATATATATATAAGTACGTCTGAACCAGTGACAACTCTACAAACTCTACAACAGATTAATCCATCGGATCAACAGCAGTGATGGTGATACATGGCTGTGTACATTCTGCATATACAACTCGTCTAAACATCAGCCCAACAATGTTAGATCTGTAAATTTGCGAAAGATTGTATTATATTTTCCTTCGGGTTTATATGATCCGTTCATCCTATTTCGACTCTTTAAAATTCAAGAGTCTTTCCTAAATTGAGGTAAATTATATGGCCTTCCAAATACCGTTTCGATCCCTAACATCACTGAAGAGACATTAATTGTCGAAATCCGGATATGGTGTACAAATTTTTGCACCTCATGTTTGTGGTATACCATCTTTTCCACAAGTTTATGGTTTTCTGTTTGGTATTAAATTAATATTAAGATCCATTTTGTTAGATCTGGTGATCAATTTATTTGGCAATCGCCAATGGCAGTCAGCAGGGTTTAAGAACATCAGTTGTTCGACCTGTTAGTCAAATGCGTTTTGTCAAAATAGACCCAGCTGTGTCTAGATCCAGCACATCGCACACGTAAACCTTCCTCTGATGCTGCTAATATCAATGTCTGCAGTTCTTCTTTTGTAGTAGGAGATGACGAAATAACCTGCACAGCTTGTGTCTCTCCCCAGTTTCTAAACGTCTCTATCTGTGTATCTGGGGACTTCCCAATGCGCATTTGTAATCTCTATAGTTTATCCTCGATATCGCCCTGAGAAATTATATTTTGAATTCAATGCGATTAAAGATATAGGATCGACGGTTATTTATCAAAGAAATATAAATCAGTGTACATATATTGATAAAATAATACGTTTAATGTTATTTTCGGAACTCATATCGTAGTTATTAGGAGGCGACATCTTATACCAAAGTTCGAAAATATCTTTTTATAGTTAAAATGCGCATGGCAGGTGATGCATGCGAAGCAGAAACCGCTTACACTGTCATTTCAACTGGTCTCGCTCTTTTTGAATTTTATGCTATTTCCCTAGTGTTTGTTCTCTTCCTAAAAGGGTAATCCATATTTGAACATTGGTAAGCTACTGTCGCCTTAACTAATATACAAATCAGGATAAAATGTCAGAGGAAACTGATTTAACTGTAAACTGGTAAACTGAGGAAGACTGAGAGTGTCGACAGAATAAGTGTCTCTTGCTATACATCCAACATTCTTCATGTAAATCTGAACTCAATAAAAATGTCACGCAAGGAAATAGAAAAACAGCGGTATATATGCATATCAGACTATTAAGTTTGGTAGTTCAAGATATTTATCATGAACCATGTTTCTCTTGTTTAGACAAAGACACGGTAGATAGGTCAACCAACTCGTGATGAAAACCACCGAAAACTCATTCAGTTTCTATTTTAGTGGTTGTCAGTTATGACTCATAACAACGCCATACGACAGGGTAGAGGGATAATCGAACTGACTGAGAAATGGAAAGTTGAAAATAGGGAACCTATAGTCGTCACATCTGTCATACATCCTACTTTGAAGCATGATATTAAGCAAAACGTCAATAGGATCCATAAAGTCAAATGTATTAGAATAATTATATGAGATGCAGGCAAAAATATCAACATTGTCACCCTCTATGTTGTGTTTCGAATTACTACAATACAAAGAACAAATCATGTATTTACTTTCTTATAAACACTTACAATTTCGTTTATTTCATAGTGTTTCGAACGGTGTAAATCATATATCAACGTGCTAGTTCGACCGATTAAGACTTTTGAGCATTCAATGTTCTTTTCCATTATCAGTTATACATGAAACCCACTCTTGATCTTTTCAAATATGTAGTTTGATCTGTCTTATCTTGTATACCTTTTTACGACTTTTGATTAAGCAGAATTCGTAAAATATGGCGGTCAATCACGGTTTGTAAATTATATATATCTTTTGATAGCACTGCATACACCTGCGCATTCATAAGGTCAATACAGTGTTTTATATGGTCGGATTTTTGGCCGATTTTCTTGTTCCGGCAGAAATTCAACACTACGATAAAAAAGTTATTGGAAAATTCTTGGAATCAAATACAAAATTCTTTTTTTGTCGTTTTGTAGTGATGATGTGACATAATGGAAAAGGCGACCATGCATGAAGTGGAAGATACCCAGGGACAATGCTTTTTTCAAACAGCATTTTAGTTGTTCACTATCACGTGGACTATAATGTTCGACAACTACAGGATGAAACTAGATAAAAAAACACACACGCCGTTTTATGTACAAATGCATTCAAAATTAGTCATTCTCTGTAATCATCAACATATGCTTGAAATGGACCTTCACAGATCGTAATAATATTTAATACAATTACAGTGTACTAAGACCCTTTTATTATGGTACCATTAAACATTTTCAGCGCAACACGAACCCTATTGACAGAGTTCATTTTTATTTGTGCGTTTTCATAGTTACAGACCCCATATTGCATTTATTTATATGAATTTCGGAATTCTCAGTTATCACCAATGATATGGTTAACTATTTGTTAAATTTACATATCTTTTATGTAAAGTGTTTGCATTCCAAATAAATCACATATTGCTGTGAAAAATGATCTAGTGAATTGTTTGAAAACGCGGCTACTGACGGCAAAACTTGACAGCTTTACTTGTAAATTTGACCATTTTTAACAACATTTAAAATAATTTGAATGGTAATATTTGTTTAAAGAATAAAGTTTAGTATTGCTTGTATCTGACAACTTCGCAAGGTTTTATCAAGAGTTATTTCCCTTGTCGGAAATCTTTTCTTTGTGTTTTGTACAAGTGGAAGTGAAGGTAGAAGCAGACGTACAAAATATGTAATTTGGAATGAATGTAATGCCATGGCTGAATAATTTTGATAAATTTCACACAGTAACATAACTGTTCTATGATTTATACAGTCCTTTCACAGTTTTGATGTCAAAGTTCAGTATTTAATGGCGGCATGGCCTGTCAGTGTCACTTCACGTCATCAACTGGATGTTCCGGGAATATTATTTCGTTGAATGCATGTGCTAACATAGATATTACAATTATTTCCACTGAACATGGATTGCATCTAACAAAATTTAATATTCAGAATGTGGCTATATGTACTGAACACTTCAATCATTTTTTAAAACTAAATGTTAACCGCTCAAAAAGAACAGTATGTCAACCTCCGCCAGTTTTTAGCTACCATCCAGGGTTGAACTAAAAATCAAGCCGGTCTGTGCGAATCTGCGAGGTTGAGATGATCCTATGCAGCAGTGATATTATTATACCAGTTGGAACCCGTAAGTATAAACAATTCTGACAGTATCAACTATTTTGTAACACTATCACAGCATTTACATGCTTGCAACTCAAACCTATCTTTGTTTGCAAAGAAGTATGTTCTTTTAGGATAAGGAGAACTGCCCTCCATCTTTGTACACTTTAACCGTTTTTGTCAAAACATTTAAGGCCTATAATATAGGGTAATGAAATCTTTATCAACGGTGCTGTCCTTTTTTTTACTATAGTCTTGTCATCAGTAGCAATACTATTCGTGAGCGACTTCATCAATGCTTGGAAATGCTTGTGTCATTGATGGAAACCCCATATCATTTATTTTCTATTATACCACATCTTCTTAGTTTTATAATAGTAGAATAACTGCAATGACATCTCCTATAACCGTACACATAGTTGTTGTATTAGACAGATTTGCTTCAGACGCATTTGGTTTGCTTCTAAGATTAAAATGATTTTCAAATATGTCTGTAGGTGAACTTTCAGTGGTAACATTCTTAGTGAGAGGTTTAGCGCTGTAAAACCAGGTTCAATCCACCATTTTCTACATTTGAAAATGCCTGTACCAAGTCAGGAATATGACAGTTGTTGTCCATTCGTTTGATGTGTTTTGTCATTTGATTTGGCCATGTGATTAGGGACTTTTCGATTGAATTTTCCTCGGAGTTCAGCATTTTTGTGATTTTACATTTTCCTATCGTGCTGATATCAGAATGTTGATTTCGATTATCTTGCAATGTAGTTGTAGGGTAAGTTGTCCACTCTCTCATGTCATTTAAAGATGACATGGAAGGCAACGTTGTTAATTTTGTTTGAAAATATTTTGGGTTGACTGTTCGTTTACCTTCTTGTCTGGTCCTTTTGTTTTCCATACATTGTTTGGTAACTTATGTACATTGGTATCCTTTTCATCCAATGGTTTCTGTTGTACCGAATGTAATAGTATAGATATGCATATGACCACTTTAATCATGATTTCCTACATTCAATATAAACACTTGTCATCAATATAGTTATTGTCTTAATGATTATTGTTATGGTATTAATATATATATAACAAAAAATGTCAATCTTTATTCATATAATAGAAAAAACACAGGATATGAGGTATCCATCCATGACACAAAATCAGTACAAGCACAGCCGCTTTTGAAAGAAAAGCACACAAAAGACAAAGGAATAACGCTTCATCTCAAAGTCACAGAGAGTCCTTCAACACGGAGCGAAAAAAGCCTCTATCTCACTGCAAGTTTAAGACAGCCCCAAGCACCGGTTTCAGTAGATTTATTTGCAAAACTATTTGGGAAGATTTTGTAAGATCTAACACCTCCAAATCGGGCCCTGTCATAACATTTTTAGTACTGCCCTGTTTACGAGTTTCACCTTTATTTTGTTATTTTCCTGTTATATCTAAAATTGAAAATTGAAACGGGGAATGTGTAAAGAGACAATAATCCGACCAAAGAGCAAAAAAACAGACCAAGGTAACAAAAGAGTCTTCAACACAGCGACAAATTCCCGCACCCGGAGGCGGGATTCAGCTGGCCCTTAAACAAAAATGTGTATAGTTCAGCGAAAATGGACGTCACACTAAACTCCGAAACACATAAATGAACCAAAATAAAAAAAATATACAAGACTAACTAAGGACAGAGGCTCCTGACTTGGGACAGGCGCAAAAATGCGGCGGAGTTAAACATGTTCTGTGAGATTACACTCAATTCCTCATACTTTTTTGCATTTTGAATTGATATGCCGAACGTATTAATTTAATTAAAAAGTAAAATAACAAAAATACAGAACTCCAAGGAAAATTTCAAAACGGAAAATTCCTTAACAAAATCAAAGCTCAAACACATCAAACGAATGGAAAACATGCAACTGTCTAAAGACAAGTCGTTAGTGTTCGTACGGATTGTGTGATTGTCCAATCTTGAGTTTTAAGGTATTTGCGATTGCCCATTCCATAAAATAACTATCTAAAAACATTGTGTGCGATCCATCTTGGTATCTTAACCATGTTACCTTACACATACAATTGAAGTAAACTAGATAACGAATTCAGCATAGAAATAAATAATAAACGATAGATTTAATCAATGAAACAGTAACTTTGATATTTTCTGAATAAACAATCTGAAGCATATGAATGTGAAAAAAAACATGCCCTCTAGGTTTAAAGTTAAAGCATACTTTAGGATAAAAGTCTATATATATAGCGAGCTATCATGATGTAAATAATAAACATCTGAAAATATTTGACCTACCTTGTACAGATGGGATTTTGTCTATGCTTTCTTTTTTTTTTTATCAATTATCATATTAAAAAACAATTTCCTTGAATGTATGATACACTGACATTGAAAATTTTCATCACGCCATTTGAGTGTATACATTTATAGATAAATAGTTTCCTTTAATATAAATATAGTAATGTAATATATATATTTTTTTCTTTTTTTTATTCCAATTACAAAGATTTTGATAATTGACAAATAATTTTGATAATCATATATAAATATGAATATTATCATCTCATTTCTTAAACCACAGCCAGACCAGAGCCATACGTATATAAGTATAAAAGCAAAACAGTTATATATAATATTAACAGGCAAATATTCTAAATGGGTAACATATAAACATATATGTACAACTTGATATTTTTCTGAGTTCAAAACATTTATTAATATAAATTGCAATAATTTTCAATACCTATAGGTTGTAATAAGATCTTAAGGTCGCGAACTCAATGTTATCGATAATTTTGAGTGACTATATAGAAACTAGTACCAGAATCGTCAATTAAGGCAAGGCTAATATGTGGCCTTAAAAATCTCCGTTAATGTTTCAAATATAGACTGAAACGCAATTAATGTCATTTATGGTTTAGCCTTTTTAAATTTTGTTTTACCGTGTATACATTGCAGGTTAACATGACAACATTTGACAAGATCTTTTCGATAATGTAACATTTCAATATATTCTTATCTTTTACGGTAACTGTGTTAATAATTTTTATCAATATTATAAGATCAAAATTTCGAGAAACAAAAGATATATATATCATTTCAAGCATAACCGTTTACTATAACTGACTAAATATTTGTAAAATGCACAATGTTCTTTTTCAGATACCGTTATATTATTTTGAAAATATTGCATAAACATACACATTTGTCAAGGGGAATAATGTAAAAGTCCCCGTTTTTTTTTTAAATCTCCTTTTTTATGAATAAAATGAACTAATAGTAAAACGTCTCTATCATATATTTAGAATGACCTATTATACTTCTTTCATTTATTTATATCTATGGATTCCCAATTTTATATTTATTAATGTGGATGTAAAAAGACGTCATAAAACATCGCATATAAACCGTCGAGGTTTTAATTATGAAAAATATAAACAAATATCTAACATTTTTTACATTCAACATGTTCAAATATGGCTCTGTTATAGTCAAATAAACTTTTTGGCATTGTTTTGTGGGCGGAGCGTATGCAAGATTACAATATGATGTGATAATGATAGAATAAGGAAACACATGAATGAGGAAACACATGATGAATGGAAGAAATGTGTTTCACACATGGTATCGGCCATCATTCTCTGTGTTCGAATGGAAAGAAATATTTGAAGAAAAAAAAATTTTTTTTTTATCATTAGTTTGTTTTTGTTTTGTTTTTGTTTGTTTTTCAAAACATATCAAGTAATTATCACTTCTCTTTCAAAAAGATTGTTTTCAAGAATTTAAGTACAAACCAAAAAAACAAACATATCTATCCCTGTCCCTAGCAATTAAGGCTTGATGAAAATAACAGATTTACTTAATTGTATTGTATCGCTGTTTTTTTAATAGTCTCAATTTCCTATGGAGAATATAAAGGAAATCCTAAAACGATATACATTTCATGGATGTCGTGTTTTAGTGTATTATCTTGCCTTTGATGAGACTCCTGCCGGACCATTCATTAAAAGACGGAGGTATATGCCTGACGATGAGTTTAATCTCTCTCATTTCCTTCCAGACTCTCATTGAAATATCTGCTCACTGGTGGTATATACGTTAAAATAGTATAGCGTATAATTGCTTTCTGCTTTGAGTGAATTTGCACTACAACATTGTTCCATCGCTACAACTCGCACATTATAGAGACTTAACAAAAGTGTGCAGACTATTATTAGATAGATTAGATGCAGAATGTGACGTTTATGTCATGACAAAACATAAGTGACCTTTATAGAGACTATTTTTTTTTATTCAAAGGTGAGACGTAATTCATTGATTATTCTGGAAACGTTCCACACAAACCGTGGATATGTTTTAGTTCAAGTTTTTATATTACTCGAATCAACAATGAGTACAGAGTATTACATTTCAATTTGTGTAACTGTTTTTCTTCTTCAGTAAAATGTATGTATTCTGAATATAAAATAAGAGATGTTGTATTATTGCCTATGATATAATAAGCTTATAACAACTATAAATCACCGAATGGCCTATTCCGTTCTTAAAGCTATAAAAGTCACCGATATGTCGAACTGTAAAACTAAGCATACTAAGATATATATTGCATTGTCTTAAAAGAGAAGCGAATAATAGCAAAGTAATATTCAAACTCATAAGTCGAAAACAAACTGAAAATACAATGGCATACAACTAAAAAAGACAAAAAGATTAACAACAGTACACAAAACGCAACATAGAAAACTATTGATAAGTTGTGACTATTTGATATAAAAGAAAATTCGACATGTATTAGTCTAATCAATAATTGTCAATTTATTAGGGGCATACAATACAGTCGCAAAGGCAAAAAATGCATCGAAATTTAACACGTTGTTTTTGCAACATTCAAAATTGGCGAAAAAGGACTAACACAATCAAATCGGAAGGCCAAATCTACTAACAGTACAAAATTTGAGACAAAATCAACTTCGTATATGCCAGTAATTCCTATTTTCCTATTTTGATGTACGACACGAATAGCTGCACGCGTACGATGATGCTGTAATAACAATACACTGCGGCGAATTTCAGTCGCCAGTTACGGACATACGATCTGAAGTATTCAAAAACCTAGGTTTTCTATTTCTACTTTGAAAATACATGGGGCCCTATTATGCATTTGTATTGACAAGAAATTTTTTACAGCTTTTTATATCAAATAATTAAATGATTTCACAAAAAAATTATCGCTTTCAGCCTTCATTCAAGGGGCTAATTTAAAGTTCTTTACATCAACGAACACTTTTTCAAAAAAATCAAGTAAATATATCTCTATTTGTATAAAATATTTGTTATTTTCCCGGAACAGTATTGAAAAATAAAAATTAGCATTTTTACAAGAAACATGCAAATTTTAAATTGCAATATCTCGAAAAGTAAGTCATGAAGGTAGATTTTCTTTGCATATTTCGTTAGTGCATGTCAAAATTGACTTAGCTTGTAATTCAGTGGTGGTCGTTTGTTGGTGTGTTATATATTTGTTTTTCGTTCATTGTTTTGTACATAAATTGAATTGTTTTACATTTGTCATTTCGTGGCCTTTTATAACTGACTATGCGCTATGGGCTTTGCTCATTGTTAAAGGCCGTACGGTGACTTATAGTTGTTAATTTCTGTGTAATTTGGTCTCTTGAGAATAGTTGTCTCGTTAGCAATCATACCACATCTTCTTTTTCATGTTTGTGTCTAAATTTGAAGAAAAAATCAACAAGAACTTTTTGTCTGTATCGTACGGACTTCATTTGACAACTCTAAATGTATAATGTCTAATCCTTTAAATCGTAGATCAGAAACAAACAGATGTTAAAAATTATAAAAAGAAAAATATATATATATATATTCTAACACACAACAAAGATAAAAATTTAACTCTAGTAGTTAAATGCGTATCAAGATATAGAAAAAAGATAAAGTATGTTATGGTGAAGATTGAAGTACCACGTACTTCAAAAACAATAATGTCGTGGTTCCTGTATTAAAATCACATGATGTTTAATAATTAAACAATGCATACGTAAGCTGTTAATCGTTTATGCATATAAATGGCACATATTATTTTAGTAAGTTAGTCAATGTAAATTTTCTGTTACTTCACTTTTAGTATTTATATAAATAGACATTTTGTAAACTGTTAGAACAGGTCAGGTACACTTCCTTATACGGATAAGCATCATTTCAGAATACTTATGTTCCCACCAATATCATTGTTTGTTTAAATACTACTAACAAATTTGTACCTAAGACATTGACCAATCCATTGAATGAGTTACAATGCACCATGGACTACTACGTGTTTACAATTCCCTGAGAACGCAATGTTTCACAGATTGCCGGAACATCATTTCATCTTTCCTTTTCTTTTAATATGATTATAATTTGTGACACTCTAACATGCTGAGTAGACTACAATAACAATTTAAGAATAAACTAAGTCTTCCTTTGGGGTGAAACCAAAAACGATGTTTGCTGATTGATTAAGAATTGGTTGCATTCAAGTCAATTTACATTTTTCATTGTTGGAGGACGTACGGTTGCCTAGACTTGCTTACATCCACTTCATTTGATCTTTGGTGGATAGTTGTCTCATTTGGTAATCATACCATATCTCCTTTTTTGTATAATATGATATTTTATACACATTGCTGATTTGGTTTTGACGCCATTTTTTCTTGCTAGAACGCTATGTGATATCTGTATTATAGATTACACCACAGATACTCCATTTATCGAAAATGTCCATTATGTACCTTTCATTACATTAAAAAAATCAAAACATCATATGTTGCAATAGACCAATGTCATAATTTATAGTCCATATGTTTTTTTTAATATGTGCTAGTTACGAGAAGGCAGTCTGGGTACACAAGAAATGTTTTTGCATGTTTCTAACAATGAAAATCTTCACCTCGAATTGTAAAATATTAGTGATTTCGTTTTAACTGTTTTCTTTTCTGTTGTAAACTAAAGTTTCTATACGAAATGTACTATTTGTCCAACCATAAGGACACAGTTACCATATAAATCGTATCAATTCCTCTCGTTAAAATAACTACGATTGTAATAGGAAATATGAATAAATGACAAGTTGTAGACTTTTGCCCACTGTTTTTGAATGGTCTCATGTTGATCAATATTTACTTTACTATGTAGTGTGTTGTGGACATATTTAGTTGTTTTCGAATTATGCAATAGTAGCATCAGTTTTAAACTTACGACTTATGAGTTTTGATTGTCCCATCTGTATTATCCGCCATTTTTAAAACCATTTAAATAACTAAAGATTCGTTTCGCCTGCTATAACCTTTCAGAAAATTCCTGTCCAAATGATGTTGATAAACAGAACCTAATGTCATGACCAACTCCTTAACCCACCACCATCCCCCCATTACGCAATAATAACAACACATGAAAAATGTAATTATTTATTATCCATACCAGCTTTGAATTTATCATATACTTTTAGATATTGGTCGTATAATTTGACTACCATTTTCTGTTCCTTTGTAGATATTTTAGAGATGCGAGATGGTTTAGAAGGCCTTCCAGCAGCGCCACAGCATGATGAATTGACACATGATCTCTGGACACATTTACAAAAACACAGCTTCCTACAGAAGCTGCAAACACCAAGTGCACCAACGAGTCTTTGTGGTTTCAGTAATTTCTCTGAGAGAAAAATGTTGAAACATTGCAATTAGTTATATACCCTACTAGCAGCAAAAGAAACGCATCACATCTTCCACTATTAAGTAGTTTCACAATTTCTTGTTTTTGCTAAAAATTTCTAATATATTTATAGCATAAACTTAAATGCAAAATGTACAAAGAATTTATCAATTCAATAGTCATACAGTGAATGTAGTTACTAGATGGAAATATGATAAATAATAAATAACACTGTCTCATTGGCGTATATCATATTATTATTTATTCTCAACGAATATGTATTAGTTAGACATATATTCAATCCTACTTCAAAAATTACAAATAACTATGGCGTACTTTTACATTAAAGTAACGATAAAAATGTGATTCAAACAAAGATATACGATACATGTACTATATAAGCATGTATGGAATAAAAATAGCGACATTATAAGATATAAAATCAAACACTACCAATTGAACTTTAACTGATGCGCATTTCGGAATTGAATTTCTCTTCGGTGATGTTCAAAGCGTTAATATTTAGAAATCCAAACTCTTTTACAAATGTTGATTGGCTAATATATCAAAAAGACCTGCATGATGAAGATGCATCACTAATTTTAATTTTTTAATGATTTCCCTAAATTTCCTGCAGCAAATTTCAATGACTGAATGCAAATCTTCTCATTGAATTAAGCTTCCTGAAACATACTCAAACACTTAATAGTATTACGACAATTTAGGATAGCACAGATCGAAGAAACATAATGGCAATGCAGGCAGGCATTCCAAAAACATGATAATAATTTGGGATTGATTGATTTAACGTGTTTTAACGCAATTTTCAGCACTATTGGCTATATTGGTGGAGAAATCCAGAGTGCCTGGGGAAAACCACCGACCATCGGCACGAAAACTTGTAATCCTAGTCAATTAAGATTGGAGTCGAATGCACCTGCCACTTGCGGGACTCGAACTCACAGTAGTTGAACTACTTAAAACACTCGCCCACAAAACCCCCTAATAATATAAGCAATACAAAAAAAAAAACAAAAAAAAAAACGTTACAGCACCGTATTGCACTTTTTGTACACACACTGGTTTAAGTTTCTAAGGTCGTGTTAAAATTGAGCTTGTTGTCCTGAAAACGTAAACCGAAATCTATTACGTTCCCATTGATACAAATAAATGTTTATATGTAAATTCAATTAGTTTTTATTTGCAATGTAGTCAATGTAGCCTTTGTGTGCTTTGAGTGTCGATTAAAACAAAATTAAAAAAAGTGTACAGCGGTATTCTACTGTTGCCTTTATTATTTACGTAAATCATGACTTGTGAACGTTGTGAATTTTGATTGTCCAAATGGCATGTGGTCTTCAACATTTTTTAAATTAAAGTAAAAGCGGATTTTGTAAAGTATTTGTGAAAAAAAACATTGGACATACAATTATATTACAAATGACAAATGACAAATGGATTAAAAAATACTTGCCTTTCTTTGTAACAGGATACTTATTACGTCTATACGAAAGAGTTAGTCCACTCAACATAAAAATTACCAAATAAAACAGAAAATGGTATTTGAATTCCATGTATGTCGTATGTCAAATTGTTTGGTAAATAACTTTTGAATGTTTCCCTCTGATAAACAGTTGTTATGTTTTGCAGTTTCAAATGAAACTGTGTATGATAGGTTTTTGCGTCGATCCAAGTAGATCACGGTGTTTTATGTTTCCTGTCAAATAACTCACTGTGTAAGATTGTTCTAAATATGTCGCCTTAAATAACTCACATGGGACAATTGTTGTTTTTTATATATCGTCTTTGCTCACTGAAAAAACTCACAAAGTTGTTTGTTTTGTTATCTCACTTTAAAAAATAGTAGCGGGTGTATGTTATGTATCGTAGCTGACTATGAATAGTTATATGTAATATGTCATCTTAACTCACGTCAAGAAACTGTGACAGATGTATGTTACATATACGTGATGTCTGAAGTAATTCACTTGTAGTATTGTTGTTATTAAGATTTTAACAACCGCTCATGTCCTATTGATGCATATGTTGCAGTATAGATGTTCTCTCAATTGCCTCTCTAAGTGACTACTCATCAAAATTAAATCTTTAGAGTAACTAGGACGAATATGTTGCACTGCAAACAAGCATGAAATGTGATATATCTTACGATTATGGTTTCAAGAGAATTTATGACCTCGATATCAAAATGTATTTATCACATGACTGCTATAATTTGTATACTTAACCCATTTGATAAACTTATACTAATAAACAATACATTAAGTTATCTAATACTCGATAAAATGTATCTTAATTGATAGGTTTTATTGTTGAAAAGGTATATTGTATTGGATAAAGACAATTTAATTACCTTAAATATATGCAACATATTGTAACATAGACAGAATCTGAGTATATATGGAAGGTTATGTTGACAAACATAAGATTCATATTACATTCAGATTTTCCGAAATTCTGATATCGAACTCATATACATGCATATGTTAGTTTTTTCTTTTGAATTGTTTCACATTTGTCTCTTCGGGGCCTTTTGTAGCTGACTGTGTCTAATGGATTTTGCTCATTAATATTCATTTAGCATGTAGAATATAAAATTAGAAAAAAAAAAATTAACAGAGGCTGATAATATCTGGCTATAAGTAAAAATAAAACCTGTAAGGTAAATTTATATGTATATGCAAATCTAAAACCGATATTCCAATATTGCTTAGTTAAAAGAAAGTGATGGTATTCTCTGTTGCTTTGATTTATAAGAAGCGTATTGATTCGAAGACTAGGTGCATATACAATAAATCTGTTGTAACGTTTAGAATAATTTGTTTTCTTTTTTGGCGTTTTTGGCGTTTCGGATGAAGGTAGTTCCAGAAAAGCGCATTCAACGTTGCACACGAAATTATTTTTAAGGTTATTTTCATTATATGTCAGGCTCAAATTTTAAAATATTATTCATTTGTTCAATCATCTTTTATGAGGAAAAACGTTTTACAGCAGTTTCGTGTCAGAAAGGGTGATTTTCTTGTAGACAGCATAACACCTTTCCCTAACAGCAGCCATCTCAGACAAGCCAGACGTTTTTGAGTGAAAAATTAGGAATAAATCATAAAAAAACCTACTGTCCACAATCCCTCCCCTACTGAAGGGTTTTATGCTTAAATGATTCGAATTTGTATGAAAAAGCACAGTAAAATACCATCTATTATTTATTTTTATTGAGTTTTAATATTCTGAGCATAGCCTGAAACAATTTGTATACATGTTGTACAAGCATAACTTGGAAGAATCATACATTTTTATTAAAATTCAACAATTTTTTTTTCTAAAATGCAAAATTGAGTTGAATATTTTGGCTTATTAATTTCCATAAGTTTGACACTTTGTATGCTTGGCAGTTTGTATAATTTTCAACATCCACAATTTTTAACTTAGGTATATCTTTAAAGAAGACAACAACTCCCTCTGGTTTTATTTTATAAACATCTAACATATTGTCTTTTAAGATTTGTTGGTGTCATGTTAGAACAGTGTTGGTCTTTGATTATAAACCCTATTAACATTGAGTAATATTTCGAACGTTTTCAATGTAGAACCTTTCGTTTTATTACTGCTGGTATCTGCTGTTGTAATAAATCATCTTCTGCATAATGGAATATCGCATATGCGGACACTTCCACTAGGCAGTAACTTGTGAATAGTTCCTTTTTTAAAGTAAACGTACGTTCATTATATTTTCAAACACAATCACGCTAAATAAACTCATTATATAAACCAGAATTTAAGTTAGACACAAAGTGGATGTTTAACTTGAATTACAGCATGCTTATTGATAAAAGTTTGTAATCAGAACTATTATAGTCGTAATAGCTTTTGCAGGCTTTTGTTTGGAAACATTTCATTTGGATCAGCACCAGACATGTTTAGTTGCTTTTTAAATGTGTTGATATGTTGTCCCATATGCTGTAAAATTGAAAAACTATTATCTTTCTAACACAATATTATATAGGTGCCAATGCAAATTAGAAATTCTGGATTTTTGTGTACCATTTTTTTGCCAAAAAACAGGCTGAAATAGAATAGACTATTTTGCATAAAGAAATGTGTATATATACTAGGTCTATAATCATCATAATTTCTTTTAAAGTCACATGCAACTTTAAATTTAAGAAAAAAAATTGAATTACACTTATCCGGGAATTACCTTTATGCCGATAAATTATATTTATCAATTGTCATTTTTTATGCATTTTTTTCAAATGTAGTCATCTTTTCATTGATAATTTTGAAAATAAGAACTTTTGATAAAATATCGCATAAATTAAATAAGGAATTGATAATAGATATCACTTGTGGATAAGAGAATATGTTGTGCATACATTTATAATCTAAAAAAGATGAATCAATTAACAAATCTAAGTGATCCTATAATACATTTCAATAGATGAAATAAAACTTGTATGGGGCCAGTGATTTTAAATCTTAAATGGGCTGCCTTAATTGCAAATACTGAACAACTACACGAACTTTATCACAAACCGAATTTAAATATTACTGATACAGCAGAAACTCCAAAATTTCAAATATTTTGTTAACCACAACTCCTAACCCCCTTCTTTTGTTGTTATGTATCGAAATAAGACGTATGTGCAGCTGGATCAAATAAATCTGTTACCATTCTGTCATTGCTAATTAGCATTTAAACAAATAAAAGTGAAGGAAGAGCCATTAACGACCTTATAAACTAACATCTTGTTTCCAACACATAGGTTATCATCTGATGTAAAGTGTACACCATTTGCGTTCCGAAAAGTTCTAACAGGTGTCAAGTTCATATACGATGTATTTATATAAATCATATGCTATTACTGTCAGTCATCGGACTGTATAAAACTTCTGAAAAGGTACTGTGTAATGTTTATTTATCTGTATATTTTTTTAATTCAATTCATCGACTAATTTGCCATGATTTTTTAAGCAAAAATGCCAATGAATAGTATAAATTTGCCTTCGGGTTTATATGATCCGTTCATCCTATTTCGACTCTTCAAAATTCAAGAGTCTATCCCAAATTGAGGTAAATTATATGGCCTTCCAAATACCGTTTCGATTCCTAACATCACTGAAGACACATTAAGTGTCGAAATCCTGATATGGTGTACTAATTTTTGCACCTTTTGTTTGCGGTATACCATCTTTTTCGCAAGTTTATTGTTTTCTGTTTGGTATTAAATTAATAGTTAAGATCCATTTTGTTACATCTGGTGATCCGTTTATTTGGCAATCAACAATGACAATCAGCAGGGTTTAAGAACATCAGTTGTTCGACCTGCTAGTCAAATGCGTTTTTGTTAAAATATACTTTTTCACTTCTTTTGGTCTTTTGGAAAATGTTGTTTGTGCTGTATTTAGACCACTCTACCAAGTAATTTGTCTTGCATACACACGTATAAAAATTGCGGTTTTTATCCAACGCAATCATAGGTTCGAACGTTGTTTTCAATTTAGACTTGTTTATATTTTTTCGTTTGGGCTTGAACTATATTTGCCTTCGGGTTTATATGATCCGTTCATCCTATTTCGACTCTTCAAAATTCAAGAGTCTATCCTAAATTGAGGTAATTTATATAGCCTTCCAAATACCGTTTCGATCACTAACATCACTGAAGAGACATTAATTGTCGAAATCCGGATATGGTGTACAAATTTTTGCACCTCATGTTTGCGGTATACCATCTTTTCCGCAAGTTTATTGTTTTCTGTTTGGTATTAAATTAATAGTAGACGAGATACTTAGACCACTACATAGATCACTCGCCGGTCGATGTATATTATCTGAGAATAGACCCTTATCTTTATAACTTAACTTTGATTACTCACCTATGAAATGAAGTCAAGGTCACATCATTACCTAATCAAATGTGTATTACCATTTAATCGTCAACTGCAAGGTTAAGACCAGACAATTTTAGTATCGACTATTTTTTTTTATTCCTTGTATATCCAGGAACCATACCAGATTGAATTGAAAATGTCTTATATTTAGGTTGATAAAGAGAGGAAAAAGATACCAGAGGGACATTCAAGCTCATAAGTCGTAAATAAACTGACAACGCCATCGCCAAAGAAGAAAAAAAAACAACAACAGACAAACAATAGTACACAAATCACAACATATAAAACTAAAGACTTAGCATCACGAACAACACAAAAAACTGGGGTGATCTCAGGTGTATATTGAAATATTTAACTTTTATTTGAGTTCAACTTGTTGTCGTGTGGTTCGTGTTTCTCATTCTTATTTATATATCGTATTACCTAAACGTATAATCTAGACCAGCTTTTATTGATATCCTAATGGACTTTTGTTGCAATTTCTAATCTATGTAAATCACCCCTATACCTACGGGAGAAAATTATTATTACATCAGAGTCACGTTGTTAAGAAGGAGATGATATTTTTAACTCCCTACATTTAGTTTGATGAAATATCTAAATCATTCACTTGATGCTTTAAATCCTTCTCCTTGAAAAATAGTGTACTAGCGTGATGGATAGTACTATTATTAATACCTTGCTTTAACGAAATAACTTACTTGAGTTATTGAATTATTGTTTTTTTAATCATACATGTCATGGAACCCTGTATTATTAAAAGAAAAAAAATAGAATATAAATTAGAAATGAATTAGAGATGATGTAGTTATGTTGTCTTGTTTGAAACAAATACTTAATACCTTATTACGTTCGTTTCATAGTGACATATATGTGAAAATAGAAGGATGATGTAAAGATATATTTTCATTGTATTCGTCTTTTTTAACACCACTTAGCTGTTATCTTTCAAAAAGTAAATTACGAGTTTAAGAAAAAAAGTTCAATCATCGTAGTAGCTAGTGATTTGGCACTGATATGATTCAACTAGAAGTAAGTTGACGGTCATTTGATTTCCTTATTCTCATGGGAAACTAGTTTAATCTAAGAGAACATGATTAATTTATTTTATCTATTATTTGTAATTGGTTTTGAACGAGTTTTCAGTAACAGTGAGTACTCTTAGATCGGTACTTTGTGTCATTTATGTAAGTTTTTTTTTCTAATTCGTTCTAATTTGTTGAGTTTGACCATTTTTAAGTATTCCCTGACAGTTTGTTCTTACATATTCTGTTACCCCACTGTCCCAGGTTAGAGCAGTGTTGATCTTTGATAATTGTGTTTAACAATCCAACATGTTCATTCCTAATGGTAGGTTAAACATTGTTTTATAGCTATCAAAACCGCCCACTTGTATGACAGCTGTTTATAGTTGCGTTATATTGACATATTGGTAATAATCCCAAATAGAGATAATTGGTAAATGTGAGAGTAATTTAGATCATGTTTCCACATTTTAGAAATGGAATTTCATAAAATCACACAAAAGGTTATACAATGTGCGATTTCATAGTTATTGGTGAAAATGAATGTTCTCTCTAAAATGTCCTTTTCATTGCAAAGCAAGAACTTTTGTAAAGGGTCTGTATAACTAAATATATATAGATTTCATGAATGCATTTCCATTGAAATATGCTTTGATATATGTATAAAAATGACTTTAATCTATATTTCGTAATAAAGCATTGTAAGGCTAAATTAAACGTTTTTTGAAAACAAAATAATGTAGGTTTAATATTATCTTTTTATCACAAATACTAATTTTCCTTCTATGATCTGGTATATAAGGTTCTAGTATCCTTTTTTTACGTCTTATCCGGAAAGAAGTCTGTTTGTTAACATTTTTGATAATATTGACTTGAAAAAACGTGGTCACACTCGAAAAATCCTGATCAAATCACTTGAAAAACACGATCTCAGCCGGACACTCTACCTACTGTAATTAGTATTTACTTACAAATGACACGAACTTCCAATCCACAAGTCTTTAAACGTTTTCTTTCGTCGTTTAAAGTGCAATGAATTGAAAACAATTCTCTTATTTTACATAGTCGAATACTAGCACTGAGTTGTTGAGTTACCAAGAGTTGATTTTATATTTTACAAAACTTTGTCCAATCAAATTTCTTCAACTGTCTTCGTCACTGTTATAATACATGCGTGTTCATTTTCATAGTAACTATGCATTGATAACAACAAGCTTTGATTAACATACCTGTTGATTGTAATCAAGGTATGGTGAGAGGAACAATTAATGCCGTAGTATACTTTTAATAAACATGATAAAAGAAGTGTCCCAATCTCTTAACTCTATGTGATTCGTGTTTGAAACTATTTTTTAATGATAAAATGATATATGTTAACAGGACTGAAATTTAACAAACACAACGATGATGATAGCTATCCTTAAAAACGTGTTATGATGAAAAGTGACTTGACCCCTTTCTTCATGTATAGAAACACTTTGACGATATATGTAACAAATTTGCCACGCGTTTTAAACATGACAACAGGAGCGAAAATGAACTTTTTGTATGGTTAAAATCTAATGAAGTCACCAATTCATCAATGTCATCAACTGCAATTTTATATTTAAGTGGTGATCGATTTCCATTTCTGGCTACACTTTTAGCGCATACACTAAATATATCATCTAACATATACAACATTTGCACCACGAATCACATCTTAATGATAAGATCATAGGACAATAAGCAATTAAATCAATATTGATTAGTAATCTGAATAGTCAAACAAATGTTATCATTTCTTTATACAATATGACTATCAGTGACTCAATAAACAAATAATCAGCAGATTGCATTAACTTGCACATGTTGGCCATCAGGTCAATTGACAATTACATAACTTCTGTGGACAACTGAACATTATTCCTGTTATCTAATAGCCTATTCAAATAAATCATTTTAAAAAATAAGGATATTTGGTTTGAGTGCCGATGAGATAATTATCTACGAGAGCCCTGATGACGTAATCAGCTAAAGGTCACCATGCTGCCTTCAACAATG